TGGCTGACACTGTGAAGGTGGATAATTCTAGTGATTTTACGCTATACACCATAATTGGTCTGCGGTGCTTGTTGTTGCCCTGTGTCGGAACATACGAACGCCCTGCGTTGCAAGGTTAGAGGTTAGCTCACCACTAAAAATGCTAAGGGTGATCCTTAGACTTTCACGTGATTTTAGTTGTGGGTCGTGCCACGAGGATGGTTATCTAGGTTTTATTGTATTTAATCCGTATTGAAATTTACAAACCTAGCTGTTACACTTGGACCTCCCGCATAATTCTTCCTCTTGGGAGCAGAACTAATTTATGGCAAAATCTGGCCCTATTTTGGTGACTGTTCCTTGTGTTATTTCCAATTATATATCCTTCTAAAGAACCTCGCGTGACGGAGAGTTTGCCAGGAAATTTGACACTATATATATTTATCAAGAACATATATCTTTCGCAAACTGAGGCTATCTACTAGTATAGTAAACAAAGAACTAGAATTTCGGAACAATGTAATTCAGCGTAATTTTTGTCCTAAGGGTCACCCTCGCCAATTTTATTTTTCGGGTATGTACTCCTGCGCCGCCTGCCCGACGGGTTCGACCTCATTTAGTCTTCATCTGGTTAGTTTGATTCCAGTAGTTCGGGCCGTCCCGGACACCCAGGATAAAAAAAAGTCTTGAAGCTCAGAAAGTTTTTGGGTGTTCATTGTTGATCTCTATTAGTGTGTGAGGTTCTACCTAATCAAGCTATCATACAAAGAACGCTCAGGCGCTAAGCCTAATCAAGAAGGTTATTTCAACAACCTTGAAGCATTCCTTCGCTTCCACACCGTGTCCTGTTCATATGGATCGGAATCCCTGCTGAACGGCGATCAATGACCACAGTGCTTGAGGGATTTTAACAAATGACGTTGCCGCCGGGCTTCCAGTGCAGGTAATGATTTTCCTACATCAACTGACGTTTGTTGTGATTCAGGGGAAGAAGGGCAGAATGAAGCTGTATCAGCTACACGTACGTAGCCTACTGAGGACTGGATGCCATTCGGTAGATACTCAATTATCTATGGACGACTCTATCGCAACCGCTTGTCGCCTCATATCGATAATATCAATAATTAACGGCGGAAGCCTTCAGGGTTTGGTTTGGTTTGGTTACTATTTAACGTCACTCGGCGGATCACGCGGCAACGTGATCTGCGGTCTCCCTAGGGGCAACTGGACGTGCTACCTAAACAGAAATTTCACTCGGAACTAGCTAAATATATGTTGGAAAAGGGTAGAAGAAGCGCCTGGCCCTACCCTGGCCTGGTCTTCTTGAGGTGGGAACCTGCTTCGGCTACCTATAGATAGAAGGGGATGCCGTCCGCCTCTGTCCAGGTAGATCAAGCCTTCACGGTTTAGAGTTGGTGATCGGCAAAGCCAGTAGGAGCACGTGGTCTCATATAGTTTTGTATCAATGTTACCTCGCGTTCAGATGCGAAGCAGGAATGCATTCATGGACAAGGTTGCCTCGGCCGAGAATGAAAATTGGACAGGGAACACAGCCCCCACGAAAGCTTGATGCCGAGGGTCGAGTGTCAGAAGTACTATAACTATGGATCAAGCATTAGTCATGGATGATTATACGATCATAATGGAGCTGTGAGCTACTCCACTTTTCTAGAGACACTGTTGCTATTACACATAAGCTTGACGTCGGTCGACTGTGCCGCAATCTCCTTAAGACAACACTAATGCATGGGCGTATGCTTCTCGCTTAGTGCGGGCGACGATCTCCCAGGATTTGGTGCCTGTCCACCAGTAAAATGTCAATAGGGGATATCCACTGAGGCCATGCATTTTCTGTATTGGTACCCTTCTCGGTTGTGCGGCTCGGGGAAAGGAGCCCGCGGATAGTCCACTGCGGAATTGGCCGGTGGCTGTATACCAGCAACCAGCTAACAGTATAGCTTCAAGCAAGTGGTTGATGTAGCATCTTCCTTCTTTGGGGAGACGCCTGGCATTTTGGGATAGCCTAAATGTTCCCATGTACCTTACTGTTGTTGCGTGTCTGCCCAGATACCCAGCCTTCAACGACTCGTAGACCTCCGACTGTAGTCCGGTCTAAGAACTCCCACCATGGATTGAAATCGAGTCTATATAAGATGACTGCAGACCCGACATACTAGAGGTTAGATGAAAACACAAGTTCTTTTTCCAAAACACCAATCCTGCTTCTCAAACAATAAGAGGTGCATGCTGTCATCATGAAAGCTTTTCCACTTATGTCTTTTGGACTTGCCCTCTCTACTGCTCTGGGAGTATTAGCTAGCCCAGCGAGCCCTGGGTCCCCTTCATCCAATGACTTGGATGTCAGAAACGAAAACAATCGCCAGGTTCAGTACCCAGGAGTAAGTCTCCAAGGTTCATTGAGATACGAGGCGAAGGGCCTGATCTTTTTAAACTAGGACTGCGATCCGAAAACCAATCAATGCCATTATAAGTCACAAAGTGGGCTGCGCGCTATCTGTCGTTGCGACTTCAAAATAGTAACTTGCCCTGGACTCCATTACTCCAGGAGTATGCTAACTTCTACACACAGTGTACCGACGCAATTGAGGATAAAGAGTGCTACTATGATTCTTACACTAGAAAGTGCATCTGTCAGGATGTGGTTAACAGAGGCGGGTAGTTCTGTTGCTGCTATTGGGTTGGTTGAGAAGTAGTCACTATGTAGAGGGGCACATACGAGTTTCCTGCGTTGCAGTATATGTTGTCCTGTTTTCCATGCCATACCAGAATTGAGCAAGAACTATTATCTCAAATTCTGCTTCCTATAATGCGTCTCATTGTATTTCACCTCTGGTATGAAGTAATACAGCACTAGATAGAGTGCAGTCCCACCAGGATTCCACTCAGGTATCGAGTCCTGGCCACATCTTCTGCTGATCACTGTGGATCTTTTAACCTGATCGAGTGGCGTGTCACCAATAGTAGACGGTTGTGATTTGGAGGCGAAACAACGTTGCTGCCTGCCGTAAAGACGACATCCCCTTACCATTCTTTATCTATCCCTCAACCTGCACTTTTCATAGATGATATATGCGTTGAAGTCTATCTCTCCTACACTCACCCCATTTCCAGAGATCCACCTTCGTCAACCTTATCAGCAATCTGTACTGCCAACATATTTACGTTCCTGAATTCAGGATGCACGACTTACTAAGAGATTCACCAAGCTCACCGCCGCGGGATACACCCTCCCAATTCGCTATATCCGCCTCAGCGGATCGTTTAGATCTGGAGGAGGCTGCTCGAGCAGGGAATTTCGACCTCCTCCGATCTGTAGCATTTAACAGAGCATGGTATATGGGCCAAAGCTATTGCCGGAGCCGGAAATCTATTGATTCGAGCGAGCCGTATCTGCATTCTCTCTGGTATGTTTATTACCAATGCGCCAGACATATCTCCCACGAAAGCTTTGAGCAAGACAGGTGGATCCTTGATATTCTCAGGACGCGGGGACGCGGGCCTCTAACAAGGCCCGCACCGGGGGCTGGTATCGATATTGCTAGAACTCCCGATGGTACCGTCTGGAACGACCTACCGTTCCTCGTGACAGATATGACAGAGTTGTGGATCAAAGACTGCGCGGCAATGGGCTCAAAGCAACGTCTTAATGCTGCATCCTTCCTTGCGAAGCTTGCATCCACGCGCATTGCAAACGATCGGATTTGCCAGATAGCTCTGGTCCTTTTTCGTAATACATTCGAGTCCGAGCGTCCTCTTGGCAGCTCTAATGAGCCGGATGACGAAGACCATCACCGAACAATGCATACTATCGCTTCGTTACTCCCATCTGCATGTGCCTGGATCCGAGAAGCCGGGCATAACATCATACTCTTATCCGATGTCTCATGGAATAATTGCTCTAACAGTACTATTGGAAGAGGTGGCTTCACCTTTGTCCAGTCGGAGCTAGGTCAACGAGCACCTGGTGGATTTAGTCCCTGGAGATGGTTATACTGGCTTAAGCGGTTGCATCAGATTGCCGATGAAGCATTAAAAGCAGATGAGAAGCTTCTTGCAGAGCAGGCCGCGACGGCAATTGAAATTATGTTAAGTGATGTGAAGGAGAGAAACTCTCAAATTCTCAGGGTATTTGAGGCAGCGGGCGATGCTATAACCCAGGACAAGGATTTTATGGGTCTGAAGAAGCAATGGTAGATACAGTACAACCAGACATGATGTGGGATCCTATGTCCAAGGACTACTTTTTTTTTTTTTTTTTTTTTTTTTTTTTTTTTTTTTTTTTTTTTTTTTTTTTTTTTTTTTTTTTTTTTTTTTTTTCTATATCAATCATATTGTGAGCTGCAGTTCTTGTGTAGCATGGTTCTATGCCCTAGTATACGACTATTAGACAAGGAGAAATTGACTAAATTAACACTCCAGGACATGCACTGACTCCACATACGGCCATGTGAATTTTAGCTATTTCCTTCTTGGCTGTGTATGGACTCATGGTTGGTGGTTTTGAGATTAAGTGTATAGATCAGGCTTGTGAATCATGCGATGGATGCTTGCATTGTTAAGGAGGGACTAACTCAAAGCATTATACCAGGTGCATTTGGCAGGTACGAGACCAGCTATATTACAAGGGTAGATGCCAGCAAATATACTATATAAAAAAAAATACGCAAAGCCAGGGTTCAGCGGAGCTTTGTTCTCAGCTTGCAAGACTAAATACTAAACATCCTCGCATGCTATCATTGGTGTCGCAGCGTCTTTGAGCGACACGGTGGTGGCACTGTGACGGTAAATTTTGTCGATTACAGCAAGCGCGGGTCGATATTTGCTGCCGCAGGGACAACAGAGGAAGTGGGAGTGCTAGTGCCTGACTGCCTATATAATTCCAGAGAAGTATCTATGCTGTCGATAGGGAAAGTATTGCTGCAGGTTCGTAGAGGTCTCTTTTGGACACGTTTTAATTTCATTTATATATAGGTTATATGTTGATGCTGCCTAATCAGGCCCAGCGCTGTTGTTCTTCCTAAGCGAGATCTTTTTCCCACAGTCATGTTGATAGATTCAGGTAATATAGTAAATCTAATGAAGGATTGATTCTAGAGGATCATCTTGTCATTACATAAGTGCACGTTAACAGAATGCGCCAAGAATTCAGTAGCCTCGGTGAACTTAGGGACATTGTAGCAGGTCGCCCAGGTGCAGCTAATCCCGTCGTGTGCATGGATGGCGGCGGAGACAGTAAGATGGTGTCGATATAGAGAGTACCTTGACCACTCGTGGAATGGTGTGAAAGATGACAACCCGCTGACAGTCAGATGTTGGCGGCAGATACTTGGGGACAGCCGTGTCTCTATTCCGAAACACGCTGAAATGAATGCTCTGTGCAACGCGGGTTCATACTTGGAAAGATCTCTCTAGAGCTATCACAGGTTTGGTAGATATCGAGGCCTCTGAGATATGTGAGGAAGATGTCTTGAGTCTCTTGACTAATTTTGTGATCTTCGACACAACGGAAGAGGGTGCTCGTACTCCGGTCCCCCCATCTTGCTGTGCGAGAGTTCTGGGAGACCAGGCCTGAATACTACAGCGAAAAGTGCAACAAGTTCGCCGCAGAGGTGTGCCTTCTCAAGTTGATCGAGACGTGTGGCTTGCCAGATGCAGATCGTTTTCTTGGGCAAATTGGTCTGAGTGCGGACGCTACCGTAACACTGTCCGAGACTGACTCCTATAAGAAAGGCATGTATAACTATCCCGTGCGAAACTGGGCAGAACACAGTGTGCACGCTGGGGAACACAACTGAGCAAACACTACCTTACCTCTTTCCAAACGGCTCCAGTATTTCTTTTTCAACCATTTTGGACCAAACTGCCCATTGAGCTGCTAGATGTGGTCACACCACCGCCAGAAGATAGAAAGCGTGGAAAGTGGCCACATGCTGAAGCTATTACGGAACTACCACCGATCCCAGGGTCGAGGGTTCTTACTTTCCTGCGTCTTCGGCTTTGGTGAGATTCTTCGCAGGGACCAGCACCATCATCTCGACGTCGACGTGAAAGAACAATGTATCATAGCGACTGCAATTCATGGCCACTATGATACTCTGCAGGCTTTTATGAGAGAATTAAAAGACCAGATGCTGCAAAAGCGCGTCCTGAACGCCTTGGTCCAGAATAATGACATAGAGCCACTCCGATGATTCTTGAGTCTTATCGAGCCTAGCCTAATCACGGAGAAAGTTATCGTGCGCGCAAGGCGGGCAGGCAAGGAAATCTTCGATCTATTGCTTGCTTGATCATAACAAGAATCTCCAGATCACGGCGGAGCTGATTGAAAAGTGTGGTTGGTGTTATGGGGCTATTGAGGGAGTTATGAGTCGCGCCTCAGATATTGCTATCACTCCCCAGATACTGGTTAATGCTATCGGTACTATTGAGATTGATACTCTGCAAAACATTCTCGACAGGAATGATCCATCCATCATCACATGTGACGCCATCGCAATGCTGGGATATGTCGGAGATGGAGAGGAAAACACGAGACTAAAAATGGAGCTTCAGTTGAGGCGTGTTGGGCCAATCAAGGTAACCGAGGCGGCTATGGCGAAGGCCCTGGAACAAAACCCGACTTGCGAGATGGTGAAAACGCTTCTTGATCATGGATGGCCGGTCACTCAGAATATTCTGCAACGCACCACCGAATGGGGAATGGCAACCATCTTCAAGCTTCTCCTCGAAGCCGGAGGTCAACTCACGCCCAAGATGATTGCAGGCAGTGCGAAGAAAATTCATGATGGGAATGTAATGGTTACGCTCGTTGTATCGTTGATGGACCGTCCGTTGAACGATAACCTGTGGGCCCAAATGATGCTGCAATACGTTGAAAACACGTGGGGGAGCCCAGAAACGCTGCAAGCCCTGCTTGAAATGAAACCTGGTCTGAAGGTTCCAAAATGGTTTTTGATCGCGTTTACGAAGAACTCGATGAAAGGGGAACATCATTCTGGATATCATTTTAAGAGGACGGCCGACAGATAGAAATTGCCGACGCCATGATAGAGAACGCATTAACGTTCGTGGACTCCGATAAGACAATACCAAAGCTCCTGTATCAACACAGATTGACAGAAACATCAAGCCAGGTCCTGCTTAGCGCAGTTAAGAATGGTCGATCTGGTGACGAAATGACAAAGTTTCTGCTGCGTCGATATACGGCGGTCGAGAAGCCATCTCTGGAGGTAATCGAGGCGGTTCTCCGGAATGACCATTCTAGTGACGAGATTATCCAGATGCTTGAGGCTCGATTCGGCTATCTTGAATTCAATGAAATACATGCCCACATGGCGACCGGGACAGGTAGCCTTGAGATACTGAGACTAGTTCTCGACAGATGTTCAATCACTGAGGCGACTCGATCCCTTTTATTGCAAGCCGCAGCCAGGGGAAGCTTGGCAGTAATGAAACATCTTCTGACGTTAAATCACCCTGGTATATTTAAGGAAATACTGATCGAAGCATCGGGTAACACCCAGTGTACTACTGACATGCTAAAACGCCTCTGGAAGCTCGCCCCTTAAGTTGAATTGTATCGGGAGATGTTTATGAACGCCGCAGATCGGCAATATTTAGAGTTAACAGATTTAGAATTCCTGATTGCCTAGGTGAAAGATGCGAAAAGGTGCAAGTCTTATATGCCGTGATGGTGACCACGAAGATTAATAAAGATTTGGGTTATATTGCTATTCTTGACCTGATCTTGGAAAGCGGTTTTGAGATCGAAGTGACAAACGAGCTTGTCATGAGTGCCTTTAATGCACGCCATGGATCAGTCCTGCAGACATTCCTCGAGCACAAGGTCGATATCAAGCTGTCACAGGAGATGGCCAATACAGTACTCGAGCTGGAATACTACGATGCCTTGAAAGTATTGGTCAAGTATGAGAACCCGCGGGAACTGGACCTGCAAGATGCAGTGCCGTTATTGACAAGCTACTGCTTCCTTGAAGTTAAGGCGGGGCGTCAAGTTCATCGCTTTCCCCATCAATACCATATCCTATTTCCAAACACTGTAGGCTTCCCTGTCTTGGATATCTAGAACTGAGATCATGCTTGACGGTATACTAGATAGCCTTTCCTTATTGGTTCTATCCGATACAAAATTCAGGTGGCGGGATACATTCTCAGTATAGCACAATTTCGCCAGAACGTTGATATTACTATGAAGTAAGCAAAGCCGTGTATTATGTCTATTAAAGCATAAGAAGTTAATAAGCTTGTGTAGAGACCCTCCAAGAACTCGGAACAAGTGCGTTCCTCACGGGTATGGAACCCAGGAAAGAGTTACTCGTCAGGGTTAGAGTCTTCCCCCATAGCGGAAGATGCCATCCAATTAACCCATGAAGACGTGATAAGGCCAAGTCCCTGATACCATACTACTCTAAGATCACGAATCCATAATAGAATGATTGGTTCGACAAAAAGAACACGTTCCCTATCCAGGCACTTGAAGCAACAACGAGTCCAAGAATAGATTAGCAGTAACTCTCCGGCCACGGTGGAGCTTTGCTAATGTTAATGGAGTCCTTGAGAAGATGTGGAAGACAATTATTGGTTTCAACTCAATCAAGCTTTGTCATTAATAGCGCTCACTGGACAATTTGAAGTCACCGGTCGGATAGAATCGGTCAGGGCTAATGTCGGGATTGTACGTTAGTAGGAAGAAATTCCCCACCGCTGGAGGGGCAACTGGTCGCGCGCCCCTCCTTTGACATCATCCTGCTGGATGGACCTGCCCTAACATTCGGTCTCTTCTAGTAACTTATAAATTATCTTTTTTACCCCTCATTTATAATCTTTCTCTCTTGCTCTTTTTCTGAATCGGTTTTCTGACAATTTATTTTAACGCGTTGGAGGAAAACATCCCCTGTCCTTTACTCAATTGCACAAAATGGCTAGCCTCCAGCACACCAAGTGAGTGCCCGCGTGCCCGTGGACCCTCAGGTCCAGAAAATAATACACATCAACTAACATGACTTCTAAACAACAGAAAGACCTACACCCTGAACACCGGGGCCAAGATCCCCGCCATTGGTCTGGGAACCTGGCAATCCAAGCCCAACGAAGTGCGGGAGGCCGTCAAGAATGCTCTCCTGAAGGGTTACCGCCACATCGACACGTACGTTCCCTCCCCAATTAACCCAGGTCTACCAAGAATACAAACAGTGAAACTAACACTACCCAGCGCCCTCGCCTACGGTAACGAAGCTGAAGTGGGCCAAGGCATCAAGGACTCCGGCGTGCCCCGCGAAGAGATCTGGATTACCACCAAGCTGGACAACACCTGGCACCACCGCGTGTCCGAGGGTATTGAGTCCTCGCTGAAGGACCTGGGTGTCTCCTACGTAGACCTCTACCTCGTGCACTGGCCCAGCAGCACCGACCCCAAGGACACGTCCAAGCACCTCCCGGACTGGGACTTCATCAAGACATGGCAAGAGATGCAGAAGCTTCCCGCCACCGGCAAGGTCCGTAACATCGGTGTCTCGAACTTCGGCATCAAGAACCTCGAGAAGCTCCTCAATGACCCTAGCACCAAGATCGTCCCCGCCGTCAACCAAATCGAGCTGCACCCTAACAACCCCTCCCCGAAGTTGGTTGCTTACAATACCTCCAAGGGTATTCACTCGACTGGGTACTCTTGTCTTGGCTCCACGAACTCGCCGCTCTACAAGGATCCCACGCTGCTCCAGCTTGCGGAGAAAAAGGGCAAGACACCTCAGCAGTGTCTGTTGCAGTGGGGTATCCAGAGGGGTTGTAGTGTTATTCCTAAGTCTGTTAGCAAGGAGCGCATTGATGCTAACTTTGAACTTGATGGCTGGAACTTGACAGATGAGGAGGTTAGCCAGCTTGATAACATGAAGGATCGCTTTAAGGTCTGCGGTGATAGCTGGCTTCCTATTAAGGTTTTCTTTGGTGATGATGAGTAGATTATGATATTGTGATATTACGGTCAGATGACATTAGAATATAGATATTCCTCAATTTGAATTGTATATACAAGATCGTCCATTGATAAGCTCAACGTACACACCATGGCAATCTTGGACTCTCATGACATCGGGGCCGTCTTTCATCTATTGAGATTAGACCACCTAGAACACGTCCTACAATTATCCCCAGCTCCAGGTCTGAACACTTGAGAAACATAATCAACTGTTTGTCTTTAATAATCAGTGAGAATTTGCGGATTAAATGCTCTAAAACATCTATCCTCGTCCAAAAGCATCAGGAGAAGGTCCTTGCTAAGCAATGGGGCGAAATTGACACGGCAGGGCAAAGCTGAAGGCAAGTGTTGTTTTCATGAAGTAACTGTAAAAGCTTGCGCTTCTGGGCGCCTTACGACTGAATGAATTATTGGGTAACTCGCCGCGTAGTGATGGGAAGTCCATGCCAAACAAAGCAACATGGCTGCCATACATATGCCACGCACCATTAACACATAGTAGTAGTAAATCGTCTTGTACTGAACCAGCGGAAGGAACCGGCGAGTCACGTGCCGGCAGGATGACTCGAATGACGCAGTGGCGATCATGTGCTGCACCGCCACGTTATGCCGTTATCATCAGGCACCCACTCGTCATCCACTCCCTCTCCTCTCCTTGGATCTCTAGTTATCCATTTCTCCTTTTCGTAGATGGTTTCTCCATCTTTGCGTCTATTTTAGACCGTCTCTCCTCATCAGTGTCAGGATGCCGCCTTCCAGCGGGCACCTGCTGCTCCCAAAGTTTTGGAGAGCAGCGAGGTGAGTAATCCCTTATCCACTCTATCCGGACTATATCTCCGCCCTAACGCCGCCCCAGGTTTGCCTACGAGAAGGCCTGCAAAGCCATAAGGACCAAGTTCCCAGAGCAAGTCCAACATGGAGGCCTTCGACTTCAGCCAGCTTATGCACGTATAACCCCGAATCAACCCATCAACCGCGCCGCAGCAATTCGCCAGGCCCGTCGCCGTCACTACTCCACTCGTGCGAGAGCCTTCGTTTCTTATATCCGGACTGGACTACAGGGTGACCGCGCTGCCTATAAGACATCCCGTGTTGCGTCGAACATCAGCCGCCTCACCTCTCAAGCGCCCTTTGCGTCCACTCTTCGTCCAAACTTGACCGGCGGTACTCTCGGCCGTACGGCGGGAGGTTATACTATTGGTGCCGGCCGGATCGGGGGTGCCCGGTATTTCTCACATGGCCCAGCTGCACCCGCTCAGGTCATTCAAAATGTATCCATGGGTGTCCGGGCATTCTTCCTCTCGGGACAGAAAGTCCGGTTTGATGGCATTGATGAAGTTAGCGGGAACAAGAAGTACAAAGCCGTGAGCGCGCTTCAAGATCAGGCCGAGCGGAAGATGACGGGAATCCCTCGGACTGCTCCGGGATCCTTTGTTGACTTCCAGCTCTCCCCTACCATCACCGCTTTTGGCCTTCAGAAGAAGTTCGACCCGTCCGGAGCCTTCGCTTCGGAGACTATCAACTCGGATGGTCTTTTGGACTTCCTCTCTGCCGACTTTGCGCGTGCTCTCAAAGACTTGGCCGCTGTCCTCAACGACCTCAAGCGTCTGTCAACCCTGGGCGATCTTCCTATCTTGCTCCACGACAAGTCGACTCTCCGGGTGAGATTCCCTGGGTGTGACGCAGCCACTGTCGAGCGGCTCTGTGATGAGGTTGGAGTCCAACGAGGGAAGATTATGCAGGACGAGGACTTCAATATTCGTACAGGTGCAGACATTGCTCTTCTGTTCCCCTTTGCTCCCAGTGTTCCCGCATCACCAGAGACGGTGGATTACCTTTTCTCAAAAGGGCCCTCTGAGCCGCAAGCACCCGAAGAAGTTGATTGGCAAGCCATGATGTCTTCAGAGAACAACACAGAGGCTTCACCTGAGCTTCTCAGAGACTCTGGGCCGAAGCTCAGTTTCGAGGACATAACCATGTTTGGCGAGAATCCGTGGCAGCAATCATCGTCCTCTGGATATTCAAGTATCAACATCAGCGAACTCGGCGACCGCGCATACTTCCATGAGATCTCCAGCACCGGGTTTCCTGAAAGTGCGTCTGAATATGAAGGATCGGACGGGTTGCACCGATTTCTTGCCGAATGCAACCGTGCTCCTCCAATTGCTTAGCTACTTGCGCTTCCATGTTATTTTACACAGGCTTTGACAGTCTTTTACCGTAATTTCTTTTGTTCACGAATTTGTGAGGCGGACACCATACGTCCGAGGTATGCTGAATCTTGACTATTACTGATATTCAAATCAATTGAATCATCAATTATCCATATATCTACTTCGTAAATCAATGTGTTTCTATAAACTATATATAATTCAGTAAACTGCTTAGTTATCACGGCGCGGTATAGTTAACCTAAATATATATATCACGGCGTATCCTAGAGTGTTCAGAAGGTCAAACCGCTGTGTTCTCGAGCAAAAGACTAGGATACACGGCCAAAGGCTTTGTCTGAAGTACTGGACTTCCATATCTAAATGTGAGTCGGAATTCAGGCAGGCAGGCAGCTGTTTCTCATACTAGTATTCATAAGTTTAATCACAGTATATTATGCAAAATGTTCAGTGGGGCAATCCTTCCCCATGGGAACTCGGCCCGTCGAACCGTCAACATCCGATTGTATAATTTCCCTGCAGAAACTACTCCGCATCTTGGCGCCATCAGACGGGCATCTCTTTTCAGATTGATACACAAGTCACGGACCGAGGATGCCTCAACAACTGAACCTCAAACAGAGATCTGCAAAGCCTAAATGCAGTATTGAATGGTGCCTAGTAAGGTGTTGTAGTGATCCTGGATGTATTATTCCGGGATTATCCAGTCGTTCATTGTTATAGTACCTAGACGGAGAAATTATGCAGATTTCCCGGCGTACAGCCCTATACATGAAACGGGAAATGTTTTGAGTTTCTTCAGTTATTAATTTCCATTTTAGGGCTTTTGTCATATAAAAAATTTCCCAGACGTTGTTATCAATCCTTTGTGATCATGAAGCTATTGATCGCTTGTTTGTAATATCCTGGCATAAGATGCTGCTTGCGGTGTCGGGTTTTGTTTAGGACAGCACATAGCCTATTTACATACGCCAATTTCAAATCCGTTCAACTGGACATGAAATTTACCCGAGCTGCAAGGTACATACAATAAACACCACACTAAGCCTTGAGAAGTACCGATGTGATGAAGATCACCCACTCCGCTCCCTTTCCGCTACGGGGCGAATCCGCCTCCGCTACTGAAGTGACAACACCTCTATCTGAAATGAGAAGGATGAAACAGGATGCATGAATTGAAGAGCCGGTGACATCTGCCTTTAGCCGAATCATATTCCTCTAGCCTTCGGCAATCTCACAGAATGACATGCATTTAGACGGAGAAATACATATAAATGGGACTCAATATCCTGTAGTAGTCCCGAGTTCGGTACACCAACTCATCATTTCCAGAGTATCGTGGATAGCAAGTTATCTTGTCCGTTCATAATGCACACCCTCAACATGCAGGCCCTGTGGGCTCTGTCGCCCTTGCTCTTCTCCGCTGCCAGAGCACTTCCCCAAGCGAGCGTCACCCCGACTCCTTCGTCGTCCGTTCCTTCGTCAAGCGCCCCTGCTCCTACCGCAACAGCAGGTGGAAATCCCTTCGAGGGATATGACCTCTATGTGAACCCCTACTACAAGTCCGAGGTGGAGAGCATTGCCATTCCATCCATGACTGGCTCGCTCGCTGAGAAGGCCAGCGCTGCAGCCAATGTACCGTCTTTCCACTGGCTGTAAGATTTCCTTTCCATACAATTGAACCAAACCAGTTACTAAACGGAAACCTCACAGTGACACAGCAGACAAAGTCCCCCAAATGGGCGAGTTCCTCGCGGATATCAAGAGCAAGAACGATGCCGGAGCGAATCCCCCAACTGCGGGTATCTTCGTCGTCTACGATCTCCCTGACCGGGACTGTGCGGCACTGGCTAGTAACGGAGAGTACCTGATTAGCGATGGTGGAGTCGAGAAGTACAAGGCGTATATTGATTCCATCCGGGAGCAGGTTGAGAAATACTCGGACACTCAGATTATCCTGGTTATCGGTGAGTACACATATCATTTCAAATTTCAACCCAAAGTCGCCTATTAAACCGAGTAACTTATTGACATCCCCCAGAACCCGACAGCTTGGCAAACCTGGTGACCAACATGAATGTGCAAAAGTGCGCCAACGCCCACGACGCCTATTTGGAATGTACCAACTACGCCTTGAAGCAGCTGAACCTGCCCAACGTTGCGATGTACCTTGATGCCGGTGCGTAGCATTCCCCCATATACCCAGACAATGCTCTGAAACTACCAATCTAACACCCAACAGGTCACGCCGGATGGCTAGGCTGGCCCGCCAACATCGGCCCAGCAGCCGAGCTCTACGCCTCCGTATACAAGGACGCAGGATCCCCCGCCGCCGTCCGTGGTTTGGCCACGAACGTGGCAAACTACAACGCCTGGTCTATCGACACCTGTCCTTCATACACACAGGGCAGCAGCGTCTGCGATGAGAAGACGTACATCAACAACTTCGCCCCGCAGCTGAAGAGCGCTGGATTCGATGCTCACTTCATCGTTGATACTGGTGTGTCCTTGGCAATTATCCTTCGCATCGTTGAGTATTGATTAACAAATCCACACAGGTCGCAACGGAAACCAGCCCACCGGTCAAAGCCAATGGGGCGACTGGTGCAACGTGAAGAACACGGGTTTCGGTGTTCGCCCTACCACCGATACTGGTGATGAGCTTGTCGATGCTTTCGTCTGGGTTAAGCCCGGTGGTGAAAGTGACGGAACCTCTGATTCCTCTGCAGAGCGCTACGATGCTCACTGCGGATATGCTGATGCGTTGACGCCTGCTCCGGAGGCTGGTACTTGGTTCCAGGTGAGAATTTCTGCACTTTAGCTTCCTGGGAGTACCGTGCTAACATGACTCTGCAGGCTTATTTCGAACAGCTGGTTCAGAACGCTAACCCTTCTTTGTAAGATGGGGTCTGGGGTTAGGCGATGCCGAGGTTGATGGATAGTTTGGGATGCTTGTGTATAGTAGTGCAATGTCACTAGGGAAATGCCATGATGGGTTGTTCTTCTTTTTTTTTTTTTTTTTTTTTTTGATTAACAAAAAGACCCTACAAACAGAGAACTAGCGGTACCAGTACATGGTCTCTCAACCTAAAAGGCATATTTTAACTAATTTTACCTGTGATCCTCCTGGAATGGCAAGTATAGGATATCTGTAGACGCTGGATGTAAGATCACAAACCAGTGCCTAGGATAGTAACCTAGGTACAGCCAACTACGAAGCATAAAATCTATTACAAATCACTAGACAATAGAGGACCACCAGCGCAGATGAATATTAAGAGTAGGGAAATTGTGATGTGGCAGCTGCTTCGTAGGCTATTTAAGGCTTTTTGCTCATTCTATCTCTTATATGTAGGCTTGAGAGTTTTCGTGTTTAGATCTAGATTCTGCCTCAACGCGAGGTGTCTGCATAGCTGAACGTTCAGTAGTTGTACATATCCTCACTTATGAGTTGCTTCGTTCTCCTTTTCTTATTCAGCTGTGCTATGATTGTAGACTGTTTATCTTAACGACGATTCGCAATATTACAATACATTGTCAGAAATATACAATGGCCTTCTTTCTGCAAATTTCCAATTATGCCAGATTGGGGCAGACGCTGTATGTCTCCGATGTAAATGTCAACCTTCCTTGTAGCCGTAGGCTCTCAGGATCAACATAAGCTTTCACTCTCATACTGTCTCTACCTAAGTGGTATACCCTGAAAACCATATAGACCTCGTCCGGGAATCCATCGGAAGGCCAAATTTGCATTCTCTGCATCTATACATGCTCCATCAGTATGGGTATTATCGAAACACAAAATAGAACCCGAAATGTAGTTGGAGTAACATACACGCCTGTATTGCCCCTTACTCATGAAAAACGAGCTTTCGAGTTCTCCCGTGGTGGTCTTCACCTCTATGAAATACGTCGGGCGGGCACCATGCCATTGTGCATTGGACAGGTACCCTGTATCAATCAGGGTGTTCGTGAGAGCAGAGTTGATATCGTGATATATTATATCTGCGGTTTCAGCACCATTCCACGGGGTAATATCTTGATACTCGGGATGCACAATGACCCTCTTCCGAATGTTGCTTCGCCAGTTTGTGCGGTTGAACCCTGGTAGCTCCGCTAAAAGAAGCTCAAATATCTGAAGACACCAGCAAGTCAGTTTCGGATACTAGAAAGAGTGTATTGGGTTACAGACAAACAGCTCTCCTGCGGCACCAACTTTGAAATCATGCTCTAGCTGAGTCTCTCCCTGGAGTCTGAATACTGGCTCATTTGTGACATTTGGTCGCTGTAACGCTTGAGAAAGTGTGACTCGTCGTGCCAGTCGTATAACCTTGTCTAATAGCTGAACGTAGGTTTGTTCGGAGGTGTCGGGCTCGGCGCTTCTTTCTGATGGAGGAGTGGATGAATGGTTTAACATCACTGTATTGTTTGCAATTGATGAAAACTGTCCATGTCGATAATTAGAATGCAATGATCTTCTCATATTGTCACCATCTGTCGAGCTAGAGATAGAGGATAGTTCCCTCACTGTTGCCGGCGTTGATTGCGGTGTATAGGAAGTCTCTTGGGGATTAGCCATGTCCTCGAGATCGGAGAGAGAATAGCTCTCAGCGTCACCGTCGAAGTCTGACGATATTGATACTTGAGGTTCGTCGGATATCCGAATAATACCATTACCGTCTAGCACATGGTCAATCATGTCTTCTGAGGAAGCAAACACCAACTGCAAGGTTAGGAATGCGGCGGGGTCCCGAAGGCCAAACAAGCGGATTAGTGCATTGGGAAGCTCTAGACAGTAGCAACGCTGACGGTCACTACGATCTCTGGGAATATAGATGCGTAGCGTCTCATTACTATCATCGATATGCACTAAACCCGTGTCACTCTGTACGCTAGCTGAAATTTCGTTCAGCTGAAGAGCTGAAACCTTTTTGAACCCATCGCTTTCATAGACAACAGCATTCATCAATTGTTGAGGTATCTGCGAGTTCTCTAGTTCCAGACTACCTGTATGGTAATGCAATGCGCAACTAAAGACTTGTTATTATTAAAAAGTCCAGTTCTCTGCTTCACGACTCACCGGTATATGTGCTTCGCCTTTCTCCGGAATGCCCTTGTTTCACTGAGGGACGATTCAGATGATGGCTGTTCAACCATTGTCTTCTCCTGTACTATCCTGGAGATATACCGGTCTTCCAGAGAAAGGGACTTCAGTAGCCGGCCCAGCCGTCGGACGTCTTCGAGGGAAAAGTCGAGGATGGGAACCTTGCCTTGAAATGTAGACCTGTATTCAATTCGGTCTGCAATGAAGAATGTATCCGTAGGCCGCAACAACTCCACACTTCCACTGGGCATCTCAACTGTCAGGAATGCAATCTCATGTAAGGCTTCGAGATCATTAGGCCCCGGGGATAGTGCGACCATCTTGTCCATGGCATTCTTGATCTCTGCCACATTCTCGGGGTCATGGGAGGCTAATCTCCGAAGTTGCTCTATGTAAGTTGCTGTGGTGGGAACCTGCACTTTGAGTGTAATCCGGAAGAAGTCTTCCAGCTCCGGATACACTGCGCTGATTCCGTATTGTTCTCCGATCCTTTGGGCGTCTGCCCAGACACAAGATGCTGGCGTCAGCCAAGCTCGTTCTGCAGGCAGATACACTAGATTTTGCTCTGTACACATATGCCTAGACTTTATAAGCATTGGACTAAATTTACCACCATTGTCTTTAGGTCTCATACCGAGTTCGGTCATGGTCCTTGGGCTCCCGTATGTTCTGCCAGATCACGCTGTATATATTGTGTAGGTCATCATCCATGAGCACATTGAGATCACTTTTGCGCGATCGCAGCTCGCTCAAATATGTATGAAGGTCGGCATCGGGAAGTCCGAGTTTGGTTTTGAACAAATATACCATATGGGGGTCATTAGAATATTGATCATGAATGGCGAGAGGGTGCTTTGTCCGAAGCCAGGGGTGTCCTTTCCAGATACAATCGTTGAGTGATGCCAAAAAGGGAGGCTCCCCCGTGGCTACTGGTATATAGATAATTGAGCGACTCCGGAAACAATAGCTACACGTCACAAAGTCAGTCAAATATTGTCTTTTTCGCTATTCAATGGAACACCAACTCTTGTATATCCTCGGGATCTTCATCAGAGAACCGAATTGAAATTTCCTTGTACATCTTGAATAAAGCTGTCTGTGGTGGGTTGCTAATGCTAGTGACCGCCAGCCAGTGGCATATTTCAGCGAACATTGGGAGGTCTGGGTCGAAGCGTACTCCAAACGAGGCGAGAAAGCCCCATTCACTAGTGTCATCCCTAGCCAAGCCAGCAGGTACATCCAGGAAGCGGCCGAAAAGATTATCAACGTGTGCTTCAGAGCAAAGCCTTCTTAATTCGGCTGAGGGGAAATAGGTCAACCCGAGTTGCTTGAGGTTAACTGAATTCCGACAAGCCACTTTGGTCGATTCAATGCCATTAATCACCCCAGTTGTAAGTTCGTCTCTGTAGCTATTCCAATGTGTCTTCAAGGTCCATACCAAGGTCATCGGTTGGTGCTTCGCAATCAACTGACATAATGTGGATAATCGGTCCTGCTGGCGATGTTTTAGTCTCGGAATACGGCGCACCAGTGCCACCTCTTCCAGCCACTGCTCCCAAGAACGGCCATTACTACGGGCTTCAGGTGGAACCGCACTTATATATGCATCATGAATGATATGTATGTCAATGTCAACGTTTTCCTGTCCTTCAGGTACGCAGCGCAGCCTCCGGGAAAGATCCTTTGTGCCATAATCTCCCACTGTTTCGAAATACACGTCGTCCACAATTATATCGGCACCGAAAAGGACAAAAGTATGATAGATACGCTTGCCCATCTGATCCATGATGAAAACCCGGTTATCGAGCTTGTCCTTTTTTCTCAGGGTTTTGAAAAGGTAAACCAAGTGATTGACAGAGCTCGTCAGGGTATGACCAGTAGCAGAATTGTACTTCCCCAGAATAGCCTGGACGACTCGGGCTGGTGTGCAGCCCTTTACTCCCAATGTTACTATAAGCTTCCGTCTCTCCGGATCCTCAAAAGCGTCTCTTTTAACAATGTCCAGTTTCAGATCGTCCGGAATGAGATTTCCTACGTTGTCCTTGGGGAAGAATATATCAGTGGAAGACGCAGACAAAAGACGGCCATCTGACATGGGAATAAGGGCCATTCTTTTGATTCGCTCAGTTAATGTAGACTTGTTATTGTCCCTTGTGATAGCGCGTGTTAGCAGAACCGCTAGCCTTGTGTGCCAGTCGTCGTCCAAGGTCGGGTCGAGGAATCGCGGAAACGGTCCTTGGAGGTATGGGTCCAGTCGGTCAAGTATATTCTTAAAGGATAGGTTGGTTACCCCCAGCTCTATCAAATTCTCAGCGTGCGTGGACCAATCATAGTCCATCGAAAGATAGGCTTCAGGATCTATGTCATCCAACAGAGGCTGGCCATCCCGATCGCAATGTCGAGGAGATAGTCGTTGAAGGTCTTGCGGGTGATTCAAGACACCTTTACATGAAAGGAGGATCTTCGACTCCTTGAGGGCGTCAAAAACCATGTCCCGAAGATCGGCCCAGAAGTGGTCCTGAATGTGCAGCCCTGGGAGATACTGCAACCAGTCGTATTTAAGTGTCTGGTGACTGCAGAAGTTACGGGCAGCTTGTACAAACAAATCAACAATCCCCTCACGAATGGCATAGTTTCTAGGGCACTGATGAATCCCTTGGCGATTAGCCTGAGTGATGAAGTCGGACTGAATGATGAACTGTGGAGTAATCAGCGCACTTACACCTAGAGACAATTAGGGTACCCGCCACCTACATTAAGCCCCTCATGGCGCATGGGTAAAAATGAATATACGTACTGCGGTTCAATGAGGGGGCTGGATGCGACGTCTATTGGGAAACCAAGAATGACCTCTGCCTCATGTTGTGCGGGGCGGCTGTGATGCTTTGGGAGGTCATGAAGAATTGTCTTTTCTAGATGATAGAATTTCTCCTCCTTATTGCCATTCGTGTCTTTTACAAGTGTAGCCACATGCCGTGATGTATCCTCGTGGCGTTGGTAGGTAATTCGAGACTCAAGGCCGACTATCTCGACTGTCAGTTTCCGCAGCTTACGGACAAACAGTAAGATCGTGTCTGGGAGTTCCAGCAGCTCGTTTGCTCGGGCTCCGTAGTTCTCGGGTTGTATCAGGAAAAGTGATATTCGCGTAGTTACTCCTGCAGGAAGATCCTCGGGGGTCTCATTAAGTGGGGTGATCATCCCTAACCCACTCTCCCCCTTATGGTGCTCAAAAGAGAAGCAGAATGATCCTGACTGGATCTGCACCTTATAAGCGATCTTGAAGACCGATTTGAAACCAATGCCCTTATGGCCGATATAGCCGCCTGTTTGTTTCTTGGTGCTTCGGTGAATACTGCATATAGCCCGCACATCATCCTCCAAGAACCCATCCTCGTTCGTGTCCACTGTGATATGTCCTTGGTGTAACGTGAAATGGAGAGATGGCTCCTCGCCACGACTAGCAGCATGAGCATAACGATTATCTTCTGCATTCTGAATCAGCTCAAAGATGAACCGTGTATCCGCGTCGTACAAATCTTCGGCTACATGCACAATCGAGCCGCCCGCCATGCTTTGCAGGTTTTTAAACGCTTCCTTTGCTTCTCTAGGTAGCGCATTTTGAACCTCGGCCGTCAAGCCTCCGTTTATCACCCGGACATTGTCCACAACGGCCCGGGCCTGCTCCCGGGTCAAATGGTTCATGTTGAAGATGGTGGGTAAAGCGGACGAAGACGGTATACCAGTAATCCGAGTAACCCACTTGCGAGCGAAGGGCTGTTCGTGAGAGAGAGGCCACTTTCCTGTCTCTCTGAAACCCAGCACCAGTAGAGAACCGGAAGGATGAGGATCATAGCTAAGGCTAAGCGCCCTTAACCAGAGAGGGACGTCGTCTGACAACTACCCCTACTAGCACAGTACTCCTGGCTACTACTATTAGAATCATTCATGCTGGGACCTACCCTGTAGGTTAAATGATTGGAGTGCATTAGACCTGCTAACACTAATCGAGGTATTGTTTTCTGGCTCACTATTAGTTCTCCCTGCGGCGCAGTTAGTCTGCAGCTCACTTACTGGAAGGAAGCGGGGGCCATACCCAGAACTGGAAACGACAGGGTCGGATCATGAAACGCAACACATACTACGGTTAATATTACTATGGATAATCAACCAGTCAAGTTGATGAACATGGACCAAGCGCCGGTTTACTCCGTCGTCTCCGATAGCCCCCTGATAGGACGAACCTCGCAAGGTTGACCTCACTCAACGCACTAAACCGGATGCTTGACAAAACAACCAAAAATAGCACTCTACAAAATACCCTATAAAGGCGTCTTGTGTGTCTGGACATTTTCAGAGTAGTCGAATGGGATGGATTTTATGTCAACATTTAGGATCCCTCATCCATCAGGACAGTCGCCCGCGCCCACACTTTGCGCTGGTTGTAATTCTGGCCATCTGCGGTACCATAGGCTAGGATGCCTGGTTGAAGGAAAAGGAGTACCTTCTTACCGTCCAATCTAGTATCATCTTCGTCCAGATGGTGCAGCCGGTGGGCGCTCATTTCGGGGTGGTTGATAGCGAAATTGTGATGTTCTGTCCAGCAGACCATGAATGGCCGCTGGGTCCAGAGTGATAATGCCAGCTGCGCAGCGCCATTGAATAACGACTGTAGCTCCTGCTCACGTTTGCGGATATCTTCGGCTCTTCCGGCCTGACTGAAAAGATGACTGGGTAGACTGGTGAGGAACTTGGTCGCAAGCTCACGACTAAGTCTCTCGATTCTTTCCTGCAGGAAAGAAATGGCATTTGGGTCAGCTGCGGTAGAGAGGATTCGCAGAGTCTGTGAACGCCAAGCGTGTGCAGCTGCCTCGTCAACTAAGCCCAGAGATTGGATTAGCCTTTATCAGCGACTGTGCTTTGGTTCCTTACCTTGTCTCATAGCACTATACACCTTTACCATTTCATCCCGCTCAGGTGTAGTGTTATCATCTTCAATCCTTGTGAAAGTAAAGAAGCAATCCGCAAATAACGTTTCAAAAACAACCTTGGATAACAAGGCTTGCAAAAGGATTGCCTGGACTTTACCAGAAGGTATCGGGATCTTCTGCACAAGCGAGTCCCAATCATGCTCACTACAGTATTGGCCCAGTCCCTTCATAATCATATCTTTATCTTCTCCTGGGATACCCTGTAAAGCAGTCGGGGATGCTGCACTGTGCCGTTTTGCCCAGGAGCGTATATATCCTGCTAATTTAGACAGCTCATCATGAATCAGCCGATCTTCCATTGGCGCCCATCCCTTGTTCGACACCATCGCTTGAAGAGCGCTTCCCTGCCTTGCAACCATGAGACTCTCTAGTTGTCGGTTTTGGTCCGTCAGCAGGGCAAGCTTCTTCTTGAGTTCCTGGATGCCTTGTTCGCGTTGCTCCTGATATTTTTTGTACTTATTCTTTTGCTTCTCAACAACCTTTCTGAGTTTGTCTAGCTCATCTTCCAGCGTTTTGTCCTGTTCTTCGCTTTCCTGACACCTTTGACCGCTTTGCGTAGGCAGCTGCTCAGCTTTTGAATCTGTTTGGCATAGTTCCTGATCGTGTTTAGCATCTCCCTGATGAATACTCAGGCCTGGATGAACAACAGAGATTGGCTCGTCGCCTTGTGGGGCAAAGCTTTCCTTGTTGTGTTTTGGCTGCTCATGATGGACTTGTTGTGGGAGCTTTGGCGGAGTGGGTGGTGTGTCTGTCAGCTTGTCAGACTTTCGACCCCCCAAAGCCTGATCCATTAGTATCAGTAATAGGACTCTGAGCCACGGACCAGGTTCTCGGGGCTCACACACCGAAGCGACACCATTCAGGATTCCACCAATCGTGCTCTGAACAACAGATGAGCTCTGGTACTGTCTTTTCCTAATATCCTGTGGCCTATCTGTATCGGATATCGGTCGTTCGGTTTGTGCCTTCCATAATGAGCAAGAGGGCCGTTGAAAAGAAATACAAAACATGATTCGTATTGAACGACAATCTCTTACCCCGGCTTCGGTCTTCTTGGATCTATCCATTTCTTTTGTTATAGCCTCAACGGACTTGCTTTCGAGGGTCTAATGTATATAAACACAAAACAGGGTGTGACTTGCGTGTGTATTCGGGACGTTAACCAAAGGAAGCTTCACGCGAGCTTTGATCGTTTTCAATTCAATCACACCGAAAGTCAGATCCCGTGCGTGGGTTCTTAAATGCCCCCGCAGCAATTGCTGGGATACAACTAGCTTGGGCAGTCTAAAATAGCCCCTTGTCCAAAGCCACTGGAGTCATCATCGTGGGTACTTACTAAATTAGTTCAGTTCTCTCCCAGGCGGCTACGTGAAATCAGCCGTCCAACCCATCCTAGGTTTAAAACAATCATAGATAAAGTGGGCAGCAGCTTAGCAAGGAATTCCATTTCTGCCTTCACTCCAGTCAGAAAGTCCAAGAAAATGTCCCTAGATAAGGCACTTTTCGATAGGCTGGGCTCACTAGCCCTCAACCTCAATCACAAGATCATTGTGGGTGTCGATTATGGCACGACGTTTACAGGTTGTTACAGCCAAGTCCCATCCTTACTTGCTAGGATATCGAAATACTGACAGATAGCTATAAAAGGAGCCAGTTATGTGAGCTCAAAGGGGACTGAGCTGAGCGATGTCATACTTATAAGCACCTGGCCCGGTCCTTCCAGAGTTACTGATACCGTCTTCAAGACCCCGTCCCGTATTGCATATCCCGCTGATAACCCACGGATCAGCAAGGCACGGTGGGGATACCAGGTGGAACCTGGGATGGTAGGATACTCGTGGACAAAATTACTCCTAGATCAGGGTACTCCCTTGACTAAATATGATGATGCTGCACTCGAAGGCGCTTCCCAGACGGGTATCTTGCGATTACCAGAAGGAAGGACTGCAATTGATGTTGTCTCTGACTACCTAGCCGAAATCTACCAGTATATCCTTGGAGTAATCTCCAAGCAAATCACCGAGGAAGAGTTACGTATGACTCCCCTAGAGTTCTGGTTTACAGTCCCGGCTATCTGGTCAGATCAAGCTCGGGATGCCACAAAGGCTGCAGCACAACGAGCCGGATTTGGAGCCAGTCTTCGGCGACCAAGGGACCAAATCTTCTTAATTAGTGAGCCAGAAGCGGCGGCAATCACCGCTCTGAAGAAGTACAGCACGAGCAGCATCGGAGGCTCTGTTAAGGTGGGTGATGCTTCTAATTCTCAGTCATCATTGGGCTAAACGTATTAGGTCGGGGATGGAATCCTTGTCTGTGACTGTGGTGGTGGCACCGTAGTAAGTACTCTGATCGCAGTATCATCTTGTTCGGATGCTGATAGCTTAAGGATATTACCACCTACCTTGTAAATCAGGTCTTTCCTACATTGAAATTTGAGGAACTGTGCACGGGTATCGGTATGTCTTAAGTATCCACGCCTTTATCCTTGCGTACATATCGCTGAATTGAACACAGGCGGTAAATGTGGATCAACCGCAGTAGACCGGAATTTCTACAAACTCATGTCGGACCGCTTCGGGGACGCATTTGACAACTTACCTATGAGAAGAAAGGGTCCTGGAAGTGAATTTATGAAACAATTTGAGATTATTAAAAGAGACTTTGGAAGTTCTGAGGGCTCGGATTATTTCGAGCTGCCTCTGAACATGACAGTTCCAGATCCAGATCCCGCACACTTTGATGACGAAGAACGAATGGTCATCATATCAAGGTAAGTGAATCGAGGAAAGCCTGGATTACCATCCAAATCTCGCTGATGAGTCACTGGCATAGCGATGACCTTTGTGCCATCTTCGACCCTGTCATAGATCAGATCATCAGTCTGGTGAGGTTGCAAATCAGAGATGCCCGTCAGGAGACTGGTAAAGATATAATTAAGGTAGTACCGGCGTATTTCTTTGACGCTGCCTTCGCTCTTCAGATATAGTTTCCTCGGAACAAATGAACATCTCCTAATGCTTTGCTTAGAGAATTGTCCTGGTCGGAGGGTTTGGCGACTCCGAATATCTTCGCAAAACTATGCGGTCGTTGTTTGAGTCTTCGGGAAATATCACCATCACAATCCCCGACAATCCGTAAGAATCCCCTATTCGAAGCGCTAACAAATTAGTATAAATTTCAAGTGCTGAAAAAATGCAGACAAGCTGCTATTGTGCAAGGGGCTGCCCTTCGCGGCTTGGCAGGCCTCCGGTCCACCACGAAATGCTGCCGTCGGCATTACGGATTCAGCCGTGGCATCCCATTCCGCGAGGGAATTGATGATGAGTCCGACTCCTACTTTCACTCTTTTACTGGTAAGAAAAGGGTCCGTGGGATGATGAAATGGATGATTGCCAAGGTGGGTACTGTGTCTGCTCTACTGAGTATTAGTGTCTTGCATTTCCCTAATATGACTGTCGAAAAGGGCGAAAGGTATACTGAAAACTACACAAACCGCGTTAATATCTGGCGTACCCACTTTGAATCTTCAAGTTTGAAAAAATACATCACGTTTTACGCCTGCGATAATACACAAGCCCCTGAGCGTGTATATGAAGATGGTTCGTCTCATATACTTTCCAAAAGTACTCTTCCATCTAACGAATGAGCAGGAGTGTACAAGGTAGGAGAGATCGTCGTTGACTTCTCGAATGTAGACCTGGGTCGGTTTGAGTCGAAGTACGTAGACGGCAAGCGTCTATATCACCTGAGCTTTGATCTCAAGGTCATCTTTGGTGCACAGGAGGGGATATTGCAGTTTGAAGCCGTCAGCCAGGGGCAGATCATTGGAACGACGAGTATCAATTTCAACACGCTCAAGTATTACTGAGAATTAAACGAACCTCTCTCCAAAATAGCCAGCGTACTTATGTTGCTGTGATTATGATCATATATGATATTCTTTAACCCATTGACCCGTTTGCTCTCACATAGCCCGTCGCTCTACCCACGGGCGGTCATTATATATGTAATAGCTTCACATCAAAAGACCTTCCACCGTACACAGAAGGAAATGGGTATTCCAGGAAATATTTTGCTTCCCAGCCCTACTATAGCAGTTACAAGACAAAGCAGCGTTGGGGTCCTCAGTGTCGTTTTCAACCAGTCGTATCGTCAATGAAAAGGATCGCTCGCTGAGATCCATCACCCATTCCCAACGATGGGGCATTGGCTTTTCAACAGCCCAACCCACTCCTCTTCCATGAAAGCAGGCGATGCGAAAGAACAATTTCTGGTCCTGCATATGATTGTTAGTTTTCAGTTTTCACAGCGCAATGCATCTCTATGGTATTGTTCCAATAAGTCTGTCAAAAGATATGCTGTCATACTGGGATAACTTCCTATATAGGAAGAATCACAATCACTGGACAGTACCTTGCCATAGTAGTCTAGCCAAAAGGCATCTGAGGGTATTTATATATATCAGAGAAAATAGATAATGACCAAAAATTCTGCATAACACTCAGATTGTTATATGGTCAGACTTTAGGGTTGAGATGACCCCAACAGGTTATCAGCCAATCAGATACCATGATTCTGGGGAATTTTAGTCCATGCCCCAAATAATTCAATTATGACAAGGGCCCCAGCTCCCTGGATTCGACAGAGCGGCGTTTTCAGATTGTGGGAGAACAAATAGTTTAGGACTCAATGACGGCGATAGGCATATTAGGGCAGCGTCAATATACACTCCAATATATAAAGAAAAGAAAAAGAAAGAAAAGTAGGAATAGGAATGAACGATAAAAAAAGCATCCATAGATTAGAATTCCTAAACAGCTATATTACAAATCAAGAACAACCCATTCTCGAACAAGTATAACAGGGACTCTCCAGGAAATGACACCACCCAAAACTGGTTACTGGTAAATACTGCCAATGACCGATGTGAATTCCCCCACCAAATAATGACGAAAAAAAGAAATCCATGCTGAGCATATTCAATTGTCAGCCTGGTAGGGAAAGAGGCAGCATAACCGTGAATGCTGTTGCGACCTACAGGACTATTTAAAGGGCTCTGCTTTCATTATCTGCACCTTCCTAGGATAACGTACAACGTACTTCTTCATCACCAACACCATCACCAAAGTCCTCTTCTACGAACTAGTCATGGGGCGAGCAACTTTAGCTGCAATGATGCAGCGGCAGTTTGATGGTCTCAACCAGAACATCAACCAGCGCTTTGACAACCTACAGCAGGCCCTGAACTTGCGGGTGGATAAGCTGTAGCGCACCCTGTCTCGGCAGAGCAATGAGCTACATGATTCCCTGTCTAGACGCATGGACGAGACCATAGACCGGCGGTCTAGAGAGCTACAGGAGTCCTTGCTCCAACGCTCGAACAAGTTAGAGCAGTCGCTCGTCCAGTGGTCGAATCAAATAGATACCTCTATGCTTCAACGCGTCAACGAGCTGGATAATACCCTCATTCAATGAAACAGCGAGTTCCAGGGAATCCCTGACCAGACACATCGATGAGATTGTGCATCGGCAGTCCAACGAGTCACAAGAATTTTGGCTCAACGTTCAAATGACATCATGGTCCAGCGGACGGAGATGTTACAGAAGAACTTGGTCCAGGAGATGTCCAAGTTCCATAACAGCGTCATTCGACCGCTGTTTGATGGAATCCACGGGAAGCTCGTAACTCGTGATGGGGATATTAAGTGAGAGTTCCAGAATGTCAACGAGAGATTCGATCGCGTGAATGCTAGAATCGATACCTTTAATATGGATATGAAACGAGAATTCAACAATGTCAACAAACAGTTTATTTACATGGAGAACCGACTTGATGTAGTCGATACCAAGGTGAATCAATTGGGAGTCAGAATAGAAGGGCTTGAGACAAACGAGGAGCAACTGAAGGTCAAGATAGACAGAGTTGAGGTCTGGGCACTTTTGAGAGAATTCTCCGGAGCTCCAAAACCGCCTTTCTCAATCAGCGGATCTTCCCATTACAGATGTATGACCCAGATGGGTCACCAATTCCTATCCCCTTCGCCTGTCTTCCCCTTACAGCAATAGCGTTTATCACCTGAAGGAAAGCAAACAGTGTATATTGTCCCCTATAAAGTCACAGATGTGTCACTGACACCACCAAGGGTCCAAGTTGAGGAATCTCATCGAATACTACCGACTGCAGGCAGACGCAATCCGGCAACTGCGGAATGCGACAACTCATTCGTTGACACTAAGCTGGAGTATACAGAACAGGAACTATACAGGATACCTAGGACGCCCACAGCAGGGTATATGTTTACCAGCGCTTAAGATGCTATCTAGTTGGCCTTTGTCCACAGGGGATTTGGTTCAAAGTATCCTACAGGAAATACGAAAGCTACAAGAGACTTTGCTATGATAAACCTGCATAAGAAAGCGATGAAACCAGTTGAGATAAGACCACTTCCGGAGGAAACAAAGAAGAAGGAACTTGAGCTACTGATAGCTCCTCTCGGTCTAGAAGCATCCTCGAAAATGGCGAGTACTACCCAGGTCCGGGTGGGCACGCTATCTCGTCAAATGCATGGGGCGTTGTTGTTGTACTAGGTGGGCGGATTGGTATCGATTGTGATGCTCTTCAAGATCGAGTCATGCAGGTACAATCCCATTCACAGAAAGATACTTCACCTAAGCGAGATGCTAGCAATATGAACAGCCCGAACAAGCGGGCAGTCAAAACACATCGCCCATTGTCGGACCGAGTCCGACCTGTCTCTGAAGCACAGGGAGAGGAAGATGTAGGTGAGCCATCTGCCCTTAGCAGGATATATTGGGAGGTTGACTCAGATAAGTTCCAGCAGTGTCTTGACCCCCAAATTCGGGGTAATAAAATGCCTCGTTACGCCAGTCTGAAATCTCTTGTTTATCTGCATAGGAGGCGCCGATTCTCAGAAGATGCCATCTCTTGGCTGCAAGATTGTGATATGACATTTAAATATAGTCTAGCCTAGAATAGGTAGCAAATTCACCGTAGCTGATACCAATAAAATTGTGTTTTGATCAGTGCATATCTGACCAGCTTGAGTTCATCGCAGCAGTCTGTGTAAACAGTACTGTCTAATGGCAGATACCCCAGATCACCACAAAGGCGGTGATTAAAAGCACGGACAATAACCTCACCGCCAACCCCGCGCTAATCCCGTAGAGGATAATCCGCTGATAAGTAACAACGGCAGGCGGAAGAGACACACACTGCAACCACTCAAGAATCCCACGACCCTTGACGTTCCTCCATAGTATTACTCGAGCTGTGACCGTGGAGTCTCCAAGGAAGATTATTCCAGCTGTGTGGTTCTGAGGGTTCTCCTGCCCTGGGGTCTGACCCAGTAATCTCTCAGTAACTGCTACAGGCAAAGTCAAGAAAATAATCTTACCTTTAGATCCAGAAACTCGAAACAGAAACTCGTGCCCTTTCTTTGAACGAAACACCGGCAAAATGATGGAGGATTTCAACAGTGAGACTGATAGTGACTATACCAGTTACTGGAGAGATTGGGTGAGTCTTTCCCTATTTCATACTCGATTGCGCCAATGTGCGACTGGGTGGGGGATTGCGACTTGATTGTGGGTGGAGGAAGGTGCATGATGATACTGGACGATGCGGTTGCAATGGCAGCAGGATGGGGAGGGGCAGTACATTGGAAAAAGGAACACATTTCCATTTCGGGAAGCGCTGCCACTTCTGCTCGACTTCACAGCTCCTTGAATCACATCACCTTTCTGCGTCTGCAGTCTACAGATGGCGTCTCCCTCGTCCAGTCAGCAGCAGTTAGAGCTGTCTAGCACTCCCCCTCCACCTTCTGCCGTACCCAACTACTTTAGAACCAATCCTAGTCTTCGTTCCTCTCAGCAGAGACTCCCTGTCTACCTGCCACCAATCTCGGACGACACAGCTAATTGGGGCGCACAGTTCATCTCCTCTCGTGGAAACGAGTACTTCTGCGAAATCGATGAGGAATATTTGACTGATCGCTTTAACCTTACTGGTCTCAACACTGAGGTGCCGTACTACCAGTATGCCTTGGATCTGGTGACTGATGTGTTCGACCTTGATGCGGATGACGACCTGCGCGAACAGATTGAAAAGTCGGCGCGTCATCTCTATGGACTCGTCCACGCAAGATACATTGTCACCACTCGTGGTCTTGCTAAGATGGTATGTATCCACTTGAGAATATAATCGCAGTAGTATAACCCTCTGACTGATGTCTAGGTTGATAAGTACAAGAAGGGCGACTTCGGCAAATGCCCCCGTGTCATGTGCGAAGGCCAGCCTCTTTTGCCCATGGGCCAGCATGACATCCCGAACATGAGCACTGTCCGTCTTTACTGCCCCAAATGCGAAGATCTTTACAATCCCAAGTCCTCTCGCCATGCTTCTATCGACGGTGCCTATTTTGGAGCTTCTTTCCCCAGCATGCTTTTCCAGGTTTACCCAGGCTTGGTCCCTGAGAAGAGTACCAGTCGTTACGAGCCTCGTATTTACGGATTCAGAGTTCATGCGGCTGCTGCACTGGCCCGCTGGCAGGATCAATACCGCGAGGACATGAAGACGCGTCTTCGTGATGCTGGCATGGAAGTCAAATATGTCGAAGATGAAGAGGTGGAGGATGATGAGGATGACGACGATGAAGATCAGGGCCTTAATCCGAAGGAGCGGGTTGTGGGCGATGCTGCCTCCGGCCGTATGGATATGGGCATTTGAGCGACCGTTCTTCGATTTCTAATGTTTTGTCTGGTTTTGACGATACCAATGCTCACCCTGCCTTAACCTTGACTGCTCTTGACTCACGAATCACCCCTCTTCTTATCGCATAAAAATATCCCAGATCCCGTCCTCTTCTACCCCGAATGCTTGTCTGCACCTTACAACTTCCCAAAATACCTCTCAACTGGGGCTCTCCCTTCATGTGACATGTTCTTCTGTCGTTCCGTTATCGCTTGCTGTTCTCCAATGGTAGGCGTACGAACGGTTTCTTTTCTCTCAGTTCTCTGTACTCTGAATTTATGATGACGAACACTGGTGGGCGTTTGAAGCTTGGAAAATGGCTGGCCTAATTTCTTTTCTTCTGATGTTTACTAGTTTCATAACCCATAATTCACCTTAGGGGAAACGTAATATGAATTGCCAATGCAATCCACCTTCCCGTAATATGCGCTTCATTTGAACGGTCTACATCATTGTAGGATCATTGAAGGTCGAACCATGATAACGGAATGCTTCGTTAAACAGGTGGTTTCGACTCTTCCGGATCTTCATGGGCTATCTCCAATTGCTTCTCAATAGCATAGCCAATAGCCTCCGCGAGCCCTTCTCCCTTCTCCCAGCACTCATCGTGTTCACCTTCTAAAGGCATCACCGAAGCGCATCTCGGTTTGTCCTCAGATTGCAGTAGTTGCCACCACCCTTTCAGATTATTATCCATAGCCTCCTGCTGTGCAGCATCCACCAGCGAATCCTCAGGCGAGTACGCCAGAATCGCCCAACGTCCTTCCGTCCACCCACCTTCAACACCATCCGCTCCTTTGACCACGGCAGGAGACACAGCATCCCACGCAGCCTCATCGTCCCCAAAAGCCCCCTCCACAATCTCCTGATACGCCGATATCCCCTTGTGAGTATCCCGGAATAACTTCAAATCGTATATCCCCGCCAAACCCACCACAGCTAACGGACCGTGGGATATGCCAGCCTTAAACCGACCCATCACCGATTGGAACGCCAACGTAGCGCCACAGCTGTGGCCGACGAGTATATACCGCTCTTCAAAGCCATATTTGCGCTGCAGGAAGGCTATGGCCGCTTGCACGTCATTGATATGGTCGGGGTGTTTGGCGCTGCGGTATTCTCGGGGACTGGTGCTCGACTGGTCCTGAGGGTGGTTTGGATGGGGGCTTAAACGGTAGGAGATGGATGCGAATGCAGTAATATGCGGGAGAACGTGGGCGTATGCAGGGCAGGTGGTGAGGATGGATATGGCGGGGTTGGAGAAATTGATGGCGTCTATATTTGGGTCACGCCAGGCGCCGCCGTGGATTAAGCTGGATTGATACGATTAGTAGGTATATTGACAGTAAAAGTATAGTAAGTTGTAGACGGTAGATAGAGAAGTATGTACATTATCCAGTATTTTTTGTCTAGTGCTTCTGATAAGGTAGTGACTGTCACTGTTTGAAGGGCGTGGTCTTCGCCATAATTGAATGTTTCGGTAGGCATTTTCAGTGGTTATTCGCGATGAATATTCTTAGTAGTCTTCAAGGCGGTATTACTGGGAAGAGAGGGCAATGAGGGGGAACGGCTTGTTAGTCTTCTTAAATGGAGGGGAGACGCTGCTTAGTAGTAGTACTAGTTAGCAGGAGTGATGTTTGGCGGAGCAACTAGGAAAGTATCAGGATCGATAAGTTCAACCTGCGACAATCCAGGGAGATTGTGAGATGGTATGCTTTGGACATTCTCAGGGAATATGCGACAACAGAAACCCATTCTTTCTGTAAATATTAACATGGCAGGATGTTGTTGAAGCCGATGTTGTTGTCGTTCCCAAAGTGTCCAGACTGATCCCGTGAGGGTCTTGGCGCGCTTAACCTCATCGGGCGTTAGGCGGTGGGAAATTGATGAATTCAATCCACACAAACCATCGCCGCCGACTGTCAACCCATTGTCGCCGTCGAACATATACCTGGGCAGCACATCCAACATGGCGGAGTAAGTCTTGTCGCTAGCTGTAAATCGCTTCTCTAGAAAGGCTGCTAACCATTAAACCAGGAAAGAAGTCCCCCTCACGGCCGTCAAGGTCGATGCCTTGGTACGATAATGACCGCGAAAAATCCCCCCCGCTATTTTCACGGCGACAGTAATGCTTACAAAGTTCGTATATAGGTGGTCATGAAGATCATCAAGCACTCCTCTCAATCTTTCCCGACGACTGCGACCGGTTCGATCGTCGGTATGGACGTGGACGGTACCCTGGAGATCACGAACTCTTTTCCATTCCCGGTCGTTGAGATGCCCGCCGACTCGCACTTCGACAACGCTGCCCCTAACCCGGCTGCTGCTGCCCCTCGTGCGAAGGCCAACGTGGCTTACCAGGCTGAGATGATCCGCATGCTTCGGGAGGTCAACGTCGATGCGAACAACGTCGGTTGGTACACCAGCGCCAACATGGGTAACTTCGTCAACATGAACGTGATCGAGAACCAGTTCTTTTACCAGAAGGAGATGAACGAGCGGACAGTTGCTCTTGTGCACGATGTCAGCCGCAGTGCCCAGGGAAGCCTTAGCCTGCGTGCCTTCCGCCTATCTTCGAAGTTCATGACTGCTTTCAAGGAGAACAAGTTCACCTCAGAAGAGTATGTTTTCTCCCGCGTTGGCGTAGCCTAGTCTATTATATCAGCCTATATCTGTGCTCGGGGTGGTCTTGACGGTACGCTAACGTCTTTCAGGCTTCAAAAGTCCACTTTGAGACACCAAGACATCTTCGTTGAGCTTCCAGTTGAAATCCGCAACTCTCACTTGATCACCTCTTTCATCCACCAGCTCCAGTGCCCTACCCAGTCTACTCCTACCGACCTTCCCCCCTCTTTGGCTGCTCTGGAGAAGGGTCCCTTCGCCAATGACAACGTTCTGGCCCCCAACTACGACAACTTGTCTCTCAGCATCGACCCCTTCCTCGAGAAGAACTGCGACCTTCTCCTGGAGAGCATCGAGACCCACCACACCGAGACCAACAACTTCCAGTACTACCAGCGTTCGCTCGCTCGTGAGCAGGCCAAGATCACCGCCTGGCAAGCCAAGCGCAAGGCCGAGAACGCCAGCCGTGCGGCCCTCAAGCAGCCTCTCCTGCCCGAGGATGAGTATCAGCGCCTGTTCAAGCTTCCCCAGGAGCCCAGCCGCCTCGAGACCATGCTCAACACCCGGCAAGTGGAGCAGTACTCGCGCCAGATCGACAGCTTCGTTTCGGCGACGACGGGTAAGATGTTTGCGGTTAAGGGTAACCTGCTGCCCGGAGAGACCGCCAAATAGAGGAGAGGAGGTAAACTGATGATGATTTGTCTCAACTGGGGATTCTGGGAATTGCATGCATGACCTTACGGCGTAGGGAGGGAAAATTCTGTATCTGACTGTTAATATGTCTGTTTGTTTATTCCAGTGACGAATAGAGTTACGGGATATGACTGTCTTGCTTCCTACCTACCTCACCCATTTCCAACCCTTCGTATCCATTTATCCTGCGCAAGCCCTCTCTTACATCAACTGATGAATGGGATGGGGTATGCCCTAATCTTGCTAGGGCATGTCTACCACACGTGATGCTGATAAGTACAATGACCTCATCATGGCATCGATAACCGATTAGATAAGATCCTGTTATCGTGAAGATCCAAAGTCGATATCTTTTCATTTCTGCAGTTCTTCCACTAGTTGTTTATAGATATTTCTTCAAATTCAATATACATACCCTTAGTCCCTACAATGGATAACAGTAGTCTCGACATCTGGGTTGTAAGTTCATATGTCCAACCACAACACCACGCCCTGTCCATACACACCTTATACACATCAAACCTCAAATAAAGACAATGATATTTCCCTTGTATATATGCATTAGGACCCTCAATGGATTGAACTAACAAAAAAAAAAAAAAGGCCGGCGCCCTAGCAGCCGTAACAGTCGACTTCCTAGTATACCCAATGGACACACTCAAAACACGCATCCAATCCCCAAACTACACCCACCTCTACAAAGACGCCACAGGCGCCATAAAACGAGACGTCCTCTTCCGGGGCTTATACCAAGGTGTATGGAGCGTTGTGTTCGCGACTGTACCTTCATGTACGTCTCTCCTACCTTACCCATCTACCCATCCACCCCTATCACCCCCATATATGCGTCCAACAACCACACCACAACCAGGTAAACTAACCCCCAAGAACCCGCAACAAAGCAGGAGCATTCTTCACAACCTACGAAACAACAAAACACATCCTAACCCTCTCCTCCACCCAAGCCCAACCCCAATCCCAAAATAAAAATACTCCAAACCCCCTCCCCTTCACCCACCCGCTCCCTAAACCCCTAATCCACGCTCTCTCCTCTTCCCTCGGCGAAATGGTCTCCTGCGCAATCCTCACCCCAGCAGAAGTCTTAAAGCAAAACGCCCAAGTTCTCAATATGAAATCCTCCACCTCGACAAACGCACCCAGACAAAGCGCAACAGTCCAAGTTCTGGCTAAATTCAGACATCGGCCTTGGAAGCTCTGGAGTGGGTATACGGCGCTTGTGGGGAGAAATTTACCCTTTACTGGGCTTCATTTTCCGATTTTTGAGGGGGTGAAGGGGTGGCTTGTTTCGCGGAGGGCAACAGGGAAGGGGAATCGGGATAGGAATGCGGTGGTTGAGAGGGCGGCTTTGACGGGGGTTGCGGCTGGGGTGTCTGGGACTGTGGCTTCGGTTGTTACGACGCCGATTGATGTTGTTAAGACGAGGGTTATGTTGGGGGCTGGCAGGGAGGAGTTGAAGGGTACTGAGAAGACGGTTAGGAAGGTGAAGGGGACGTTGGCGGTTGGGAGGGAGGTGTGGAGGGATGAAGGCATTAGGGGGTTGTTTCGTGGGGGTGCGTTGAGGTCTGTTTGGTCGGCTTTTGGGATGAGTATTTACCTGGGGATTTATGAGGGCGGGAGGATGTACTTGGAGAAGAGGAGGATGGAGGATGGTGAGGGTGGAGTGTTGTGAAGGTGATTAGTTGGTTGGAGTAGATAGATATGAGGGTCTGTATTATAGATCTTAAACAATTATAATTTTCTTTTTCATTTCAGACGTTAGATCGTCGAGAAGAGAGGACTTCAGCTATTCTCATCATTTATCATACATGCATCAAGTGTACAAAATCAAAATCAAGAGAAAAACTTCGTAAACAAAAACGGTGCTGAACAAGTCGTCAACGCATGCAACATTTAATACCAAGTTTCATTTCCAACATTTCTGGTGTATAGTCATCGCGTCATTCCAATCATCAAATGCACTAAGATAAGGAGCATTCTTCTGGCATCACTTCTCACTGTCGAATGTAGCCCTGCTCATCGAGCAAGTTCTCTCTTGTAAAGCGTACCCTTAAAAGCTGGTAAGTTTCTTAAACCAGTTAGGCAGCTTCCCTCCGGAGCTAGGAGGTGGTTGGTCGTAGCGGTCATATCTCATTCCACGGTCTCGCTCGTAGTCTGCACTACCCGAGCTGCTCTTCTGTCCTCTCTCAGACCTCCTAGCCTCGCGTTTCTTCAAGCGCACCTCATCAATCTCCTGATCCGTAAGTCCGGGGTATCTGGCCCGTCTCCTTGCCCTCCGGCGTAGGTCGCGTCGGGCCTCCTCGTCCGATGATATTGAGTGCGCCCCATCCATGGGCTCCCCGGGAGCAGGCGGCATGTCTAACATAGTCGGCACAACTGGAGGCGGTTCAGGGGGATCACTTGCTTGAGAATTAACCCAAGACGAGGTCTTGTCTTTGCGCTGTCCAGGCATCATCGGTGCGGGTCTCGTCTCCTCAGGCGCCCTGGACCTTCGACGTCTAGCGTGTTCAGCGTCGTCTCCATGACGGCGCGAACGATAGGCCCTGTCCGGGTCCCCGCCCTGCATGTAAAAGTCCCTAGCCGCTCTATCATCCATATGCGAGTGCCGCTTTCTGGATCTCGGGTCGTACCCAGGGTTCTCATACATTGCTGCCTCCCTTTCCTGCCGCCTCCGCTCGCGGCGTTCCGCAGCCTTGGCTTCGCGGGCCTCCGCTTCTCTGGCTTCCTGTGCCTGGGCTTCCGCCTCTCGAGCTTCTTGCTCCTCCCGGGCACGGCGCTCTTCACGAGCAGCCCGGCGAGCCATCTTCTCCTCTCGGCGTCGCTGTGCTCTCTCCTCTTCCTCTCGGAGTTGCATTTCTTGCATCTCGTGCTCGCGAGCCCTTTGTCTTTCCCGTCGTCTTGCTCGTCGTTCCTCGGCTTCTTGGAATTCGCTGTCTCGATACGGATCAATGTCGCCTTGTCGAGAAGCGCGTCGTGCTCTGCGCGCCTCTCTCCTGGCATCGACATCTTCTATCTGAATCTCTGGGACATCTATTGCCGGCCCAGCATCGGTAGCATAGCCCTCACGGTCAGGGTCCGGTCTCATTGCGCGTCTTCTCCTCTCGTCACGTCTCTGGCGCCGTGCGTCGTCTCGCTCTGGCTCCGTCATGTACCTGGCGTCCTCATCCCGGTAAGACGTAGGCTTTTGACGTTCAGGCAGTTCAGGGCGAATGTGTTGACGCAATGTTCCGATCAACCCCATGAGACCGCCAGTCTCCTGTTTCTTGGGGGCTGTATTCGATCGCCTTAAACGCCGTTCCCTCGGAGCCTCCACAAATGCCATGTCATCAGGTCCGGAAACAATGTCTGGACTTTGCTGGGCTGGGTCTGCATCCACCATGACAGCATCATCTTGGAGGTCTCCCTGCCGTGATCGTGACTAAATTATGGAAGCGACATTAGCTGCTGTTCCAACTTGGTTTGGGGATCATTCGCAGACGGCGCTGCCCTCTTACCTTTTTCCTTGACCGTCGTTCCGAATGGCGTGACTCTCTAGAGGGAGCCTTGGGCTCGCCTTCAGCATCATCCGGATTGACCATGACGATGTCTTCATCGTCAATAGCATATGGATCACGAGCGCCTACGATAATCGTGTCAGTTAACTTAACAAAGAGTGACACGAACATAGAAGGCCATACTAGATCTTTTCCGAGAGCCACGTGGTCTCTCCCGTCTTGACCCAGATGGAGGAGCACCCATCGTGCGGGCAGCCTTATCCGGCATCTCGAACTGCTCATCCGGTGGCGGCGATGGGAATCCGGTGTCATCCATATCTACAGGTGGGCGCCGTGACGTGTGCCTTGGCGCATACTCGCCATGTCTCCTGCTAGATTTCGTTTTGGTAGGGGGAGGTGGTGCGCCAAAAATGAAATTCGAGAATGCTGCAGCCCGCTCGTGTGCAGGCTCCCGTTGCCTGGCGTTCTCAGGTTCCAACGATCTCTCTACCTCGTCCTCCGGTTCCCTTGGCCTTGAGTGTCTAGTCGACTTTGATCTTCCCATTCCCGAAGGTGATTGCTCCCTTCTTCTATGCTTATCTTCCCTATGGCCTGACCTCCTCGGCGGGGGTGCAGCACCCCACATATCCCACGACGTGCTACCAGGCGCGCGCTCAACGCGCGGACGCTCCTTCCTTGCCGCTCGCTCCGGCGCAACTGGTTCGGGTGGCGGTGTCGGAGGACCCCTAGCAGCTTCCTCTGGAACATCGGCCACTGGGGCTTCTGCAGGAGGGGCCGGTGGTTGTTCTGGAACTGGCACTGACCTTCTACTTTTCTTCACTTTCTTCATGGGTTGTTCAGGCTCCGGGGCAGGCAGCTCAGCGGGCTCAAACGCTGGCTCGGGCTCGGGCTCCGGCACATTGGCAGGAGCAGGTTCAGGATCAAGCGCTCGCACCGGTTCTGGCTCTGGCTCTGGTTCGGGCACAGGCTGAGGTTCAACTGCCTTAGCCTTCTTTTTCTTCTTTTCGACTTTGGGCGGGGGCACCGGCTCTGGTTCAGGTTCGGGTTCGGGTTCAGGCTCAGGATCAAGCGCTCGCGCCGGTTCGGGCTCTGGCTCTGGTTCGGGCACAGGTTGGGGTTCAACCGCTTTAGCCTTCTTTTTCTTCTTTTCGACTTTGGGCGGGGGCACCGGCTCTGGTTCAGGTTCGGGTTCGGGCTGGGGTTCAACCGCTTTAGCCTTCTTTTTCTTCTTTTCAACTTTGTGTAGTGGTACGGGCTCGGGTTCAGGAACTGGTTCCGGCTCAGGTTCAGCAATAGGCACAACCTCTTCTGGTGGCGCAGGCTCCGGCGCAAGCTCTAGCTCTGTTCGTAGTTCTGGTGCCGGAGGCTCTGGGGCAAGCGGCTGGGGCTCGGGAATAACACTCTTCGATTTCTTCTTGTCTTTCTTTTTGGCCTTCTTGGACAATATTACTGGCTCAAGCTCGACTTCTGGCTGCCTTTCAGGTTCTGGCTCTGGCTCTGGCTCTGGCTCTGGCTGTACTTCCGGCTCCGGCTCCGCTGGCGGGTCTGGGACAGGGGGTGGGAGGTCATCGAAATCGTCGTCAAAAGCGTCTGGAAAGCTTCCTGGTACAGTGTCTCGTAAAATCCTTCTTTCTATAACTGGTTCAGGTTCTGGCTCCGGCTCCGGCTCAGGCTGCTGCGGAGGTTCTAGAGGATCTTCTACCGGCGGCGGCACCTCCTTCGCTTTTGATTTTTCTGCCGACTTTCCCTTGGACTTTTCTTTCTTTTTCTCTTCAAGCACCTTAACGCGCTCTGCGACAGAGTTCTTGGTTGATGACTTGGTCTTTGAGGTGGCAACAGGTGTCTTTGTTGGCGGCGCGGCTGGCTGAGGTTCTGCGACTTCTGCGACTGGCGCGTCAGCCGCGTCAGCCGCGTCAGCCTCTCTCGGCGCATCCCCTATGTCAATAAGTAGATCATCCTGATCGGGCTGGGGTTCGGCCTCTTCTATTGGCTTTTCTGCCGACCTCTTTTTAGTGGCCTTAGGCATCCCCATCGCTGCTGCTCCGATGCTTGCCCAAAACCCTCTAGCTGGCTTGGACGGCGTTTCCTCCGCAACAACGCCCTTCTTTTTAGAAGGAATTGTGCTAAAATCATCCCAAAGAGGCTCCTCTGGTATACTCTCAAACCCATCTGGTTCAAGCGAAAATCCCAAAGAAGGTGGTGTAGGCGCCGGCGGTGGAGGTTCATCATTAATCTTGCTCTTCTTAGACTTCTTCTTATCCTTTTGAGGAGCCCAGATGCCCCAGCTATCGTCACCTGGTTCTTCGGTAACCGGTTCAGGGATTAACCCTGGTTCTGGGGCTTGCTCATGAACGGGTTCAGGGGTGGGTTCTGGCTCTGGTTCTTGTACAGGTTCCTCTGCTACAGGTGCCACTTCCGGTGGCCACTCAAAATCCTTACCAGGAATGGGCAAACCTTTCTTTATTAACGATTTTTCTCGCTTCTTTCGATCCTTGGAGGAGAGACTATCCCAGTTATTATAGAGTGGATCATCCGGCAGTGCGGGAGCTTTGGATTCTGGTTCTGGTTCTGGTTCTGGTTCAGGCTCAGCTTGGGGCTCGGGCTCTTCAGGAACGGGTTCAGGGATGGGCACCGGTTCTGGCTCAACTTCCGGCACTAGTTCCAGCTCCGGTTCATGTACCGGATCTTGTATGGGCTCCTCTACCAATGGCTCCGGCGGGGGAGGTGGTGGCCAGTCAAAATCCTTGCCCGGAACCGGCAGACCCTTCTTTATCAGTGATTTCTCTCGTTTTTTCTTATCTTTCGTTGAGAGATTATCCCAGTTATTATAGAGCGGGTCATCTGGCAGTGATGGAGCCTGGGGTTCCGGTTCCGATTGCAGTTCGGGTTCAGGCTCAGGCTCAGGCTCAGCTTGCGGTTCGGGTTCAGGCCCAGGCTCTGGTTCAGGTCCAGGTTCAAGCTCCGGCTCTGGTTCTGGCCCTGGCTCCGGTGGTGGAGGTGGTGGCCAGTCAAAATCCTTACCTGGAACTTGTAGACCCTTCTTTACCAGCAATTTCTCACGCTTTTTCTTGTCTTTATCTGAGAGATTGTCCCAGTTATCGTAGAGTGGATTATCTGGCAGTGACAAAGTAATTGGTTCTGGTTGCGGTTCAGGCTCAGCTTGAGGTTTGGACTCAGGCTCTAGCTCTGGCTCATGCTCAAGTACCGGCTCTGGTTCTGGTGATGGATCTTGTACAGGCTCATCTGCCACTGGCTCCGGGGGTGGTGGCCAGGCAAAATCCTTGCCAGGAATTGGTAAGCCCTTCTTCATCAGCGATTTCTCACGCTTCTTCCGATCCTTAGAGGAAAGATCGTCCCAATTGTTGTAAAGAGGGTCATCTGGTAGTTTAGCTTCAGGCGCAGGTTGTGATTCTGGCTCGCCTACGGGCTCGGGTTCAGGTTCAGGTTCAAGTACCGGCTCTGGTTCTGGTGCTGGTTCTGGTGCTGGTTCTGGTGCTGGTTCTGGTGCTGGTTCTGGTGCTGGTTCAGGCTCTGGTTCCGCCACTGGTTCAGGCACTTCTTCTAGTATTCGTTCTGCCGCTGGCTCCTCTAATACAGGCTCTGGTCGCGGAGGCGGTGGCCAAGGGAAATCCTTGCCAGGGATTGGTAAACCCTTCTTTATCAGCGATTTCTCGCGCTTCTTCCGGTCCTTAGATGAAAGATCGTCCCAATTGTTATAGAGTGGATCATCTGGTAGTTTTGCTTCGGGCGCAGGGTGTGTTTCTGGCTCGCCTGCGGGCTCGGGTTCAGGTACAAGTTCAGGCTCAAGTACCGGTTCTGGTTCTGGTGTTGGTTCTGGTGCTGGTGCTGGTTCTGGTGCTGGTTCTGGTGCTGGTGCTGGTTCTGGCTCTGGTTCCGCCACTGGTTCAGGCACTTCTTCTAGTATTTGTTCTGCCGCTGGCTCCTCTAATACAGGCTCTGGTGGCGGAGGCGGTGGCCAAGGGAAATCCTTACCAGGAACTGGGAGGTTTTTCTTCACCAAAGACTTCTCACGTTTCTTTTTGTCTTTTGATGAAAGGGTGTCCCAGTTATTATAGAGTGGGTCATCTGGCAGTTTGGCTTCAGGTGCTGGTTCCGGCTCTGGTTCGGCTGCAGGTTCTGGAACAGCCACTGGCTCCAGTTCTGGCGTTGGCTCTGGTTCGGGTACAGCCGCGGGTTCCGGTTCTGGCTCAACAACAGGTTCAGGCTCTGGTTGGTGTTCCGGTTCTGGCGCTGGCTCTTCCGCTGCAGGTGCAGGTGCAGGTGCAGGTGGTGGCCACTCAAAATCTTTCCCGGGAATTGGGAGGCCTTTCTTCATCAAAGACTTCTCACGTTTCTTTTTGTCTTTTGATGAAAGAGTGTCCCAGTTATTATAGAGTGGGTCATCTGGCAGTTTGGCTTCAGGTGCTGGTTCCGGCTCTGGTTCTACTGCGGGCTCTGGCTCTGGGGCTGGCTCCGGTTCAGGTTCAGCTGCTGGAACTGGCTCAGGTTCAGGGGTTGGTTCAGGCTCAGGTTCGGGTTGGGGTTCCGGCTCAGGCTCTTTCGCAGGCTCTTCGACAGGAGCGGCTGGTGTTTTGGGGGGCCATTCGAAGTCCTTGCCAGGTATGGGAAGACCCTTCTTGACAAGAGACTTCTCTCGTTTCTTTCGGTCTTTAGATGATAGCGTGTCCCAATTATTGTAAAGTGGATCATCGGGCAGCTTAGGCTCTGGTGCTGGTTCCGATGCAGGCTCTGGCTCTGGCTCAGCTTGTGCTGGGGTTTCCGGTTCGGGCTCAGGTTCAAGCACTAGCTCGGGGTCGGTCTCTGCTGCGCCTTTGCCTTTCTTCTTTTTCTTCTCCTTTGTAGGGACATTCCAGCCTGACCAGTCATCCTCCTCCTTTGTCTCCTCAGGGATAGGCCCCGGCGCTGGATCCGCGACAACTGGGGGATTTTTCCCTAGTGGTTCTAACTCTTCGAGAGTACCGTTCTTCTTGTTCTTGTCTTTCTTAGTTGGGGCACCCCAGCCCCAATCATCGTCATCAGCTATCTCCAGCTCTGGTTCGGTCTTCTTCTTAGTATCCAGGAAGCCCCAGTCATTCTTCTTTTCTTGTGTACTGATATCTCCATTGCTAGGACCAGGAGGAGCTCCGAAACCAAAGCCAAATCCAACTGAAGCATTCAATGGATCAGCCGCTGAGCCAAATGACCATGGGTTGGTATTTTGTGTCTTGTCCCCATTCAAGCCACCAAGAGAGTCGAGACCCCATTTACTCCCTGTATTCCAATTTTTATCCCATCCACCAAGATCCATGCCCCCGCCAGTAGATTTGCCTCCAAGGGGGTCTAGGCTTAGATTTGGTGGAGATGTATTGCCACCTAAATTGATATCCTGAAATGAATTGGAAGGGGGGTCGGTGTCAATTAGAGTAGCACCCTATAAATTAGTCAGTGATAATACTCTAGAACAAAGGGGGAATCGTACTTGATCCTTCTTTTTATTCTTTTTCTTCCCTGCAGGCGCAAAGTCCGCCCACGAGTCATCACCGTTTCCACTACCATCGTTCGCCCAACTCAGATCATCGTTATTAGCATTAGCTGCTGCCTCTTCTGCGGCCTTTTTCTCCTCTTCCTCTTTGGCCTTCCGCTCCTCTTCTTCTTTGGCTAGCCGCTCTTCTTCCTCTTTCTTCTTCTTCTTGTCTTTTTTTTTGCTGGTTGTGTTCCATGCATCTCCCCAACCATCATCGTCTCCGCCATCGCCGCCGCCTCCGTCACCACCGTTGTCCCCATTCCCACCTCCCGACCCACCCCCGTTGCTTCCACTGTCCCCACCATTCTGGTTTTCATCAGGGGGTGGGCTTCTGTCACCGTCATTCGGCGGTGGGGTACTCTGTTGTGCGGCTTGCTTTCCTTTCTTCTTCTTGCCTGCTCCCTTATGTTCCCGTATGCCAAATGGACGATCTAAAACGATCAGACAGGACTTAGATCTAACTGTAGAATACTTTGTTTCTATCGAGTGCGAGCAGCCACCACACAAACCTTTCTGTTTGGCTAACGGGGAAAGCGTAGAGTAATCTGGAGGCAAGTCTTTGATAGCATCGTCATAGGATGGAGGGGGTTGATCGTAGGACTGAAGGTTTGGCGTACGGAGCTCTAACTCGAGAGCCAGAGCTGCTTTAAAGAATCGCTCATTGTGTCCGGCTATTCGTGATTGAACCGGGTATTCGTTTTTCTGCTCATTCTCGACTAAACAATGGTGGGAGTATAGAGGCTTCTCACGGCCGGCTTTGAGTCCATGATGGCGAACAATGCGCATACGTTCCATACTGCGGTAATGGACCAGTCTTTGCACGGTGGTCGACTCGACTATGCGAGGCGCATGGATATCAACAACTTCCGGCCTCAATTGAGGCTGCCGCAGGTTCCAAGAAAATATTGAAGTTCCGGGTTAGACCGTCGGGAGCGTAGCAGCAAAAGACTGCGTAAACGGCGGGAACAAAGAATGAAGGGAAGAAAAGAAAGAAACCAAAAAATGCTAAGATAAAAACGCTTCCACTAGAATATAATGCCTGTAACCAAAGCTGGTCACACGACGCAAAATGTTAGCCCGATCAGTATACCAATAGATAACCAACTAGATTTGCGACAAAAGCCGTGGGCAACTAAAAGGAGCATACGGCATTAGATGGTGCGTTTGAGATGAAAGGGAAAAGTGTATGAACAGATGAGAGAGAGAGAGAGTTCAGCAGTAGGAAGAAACAGGGAGCGAAAAAGAGGTCATAGAGCTCATGACCACGAGGCGGTGGGAAAGGAGGAAAGGAGAGTAATGTTGCTGAAGATCAGTCCCTGGAGAACAGATAGGATTGGGCGGATGGGCATGCGATGGACAGTTAGGAATGTGAACTAGTAGTTTTGGTACATACATCAGCAAGTCGGCGGTTGCGCAAAAGAAAAAAAAAAATTCTGTAAATTTTAAGATTATACTTTCTTACCTTGAAATAATAATTTGTGCTGCGCGTTGATTTGCGTGGTACGGAAGAATTGTATGCGATAGTATCTTTGATCCCCGACGGGTCAGATAGTAAAACGGTGGCTGGGCGTATGAACCAACCAAACCGAGTCAAAGTGGACAAGACAGTCTCTAACTGAATTGGGTGCATTAACATTAGCAATTATTTTCGGTCATAGACCAGCTGGTTGAACAGGAGCAATGGAGTAAAAAATGCAAGGTGAGAAGTCACGCAGGCACAGGCCACTTACACACGCGATGGGATTGCGCGCAGAGACTGGGGATGTGAGTCGACGGTCCTATCGATAAAGATTCCACCCCTCCTTCTCGGCGGGTATCAAGGATACTGGTGTACGACAAACAACAAATGGTGGTGAAAGCACTGACACTCGAGTGCGATCTAGATTAGGTATATATGTTTTCTTTATACCTTAATGGTCAGTAGGATATGTACGTTAGCAGATCGAGTCACTCTCATTGCATCGTACTTACATACCTTCGGATAGAGCGTTTGTTGTCCCATTAAAGTGGGGTTCCCAAGGGAACAACAGATCAGTCCCTAGTGTTCCGGTCCAAGGAAGCTAAAAGTAGAGATGATCGGTTCCGTGGTTCACGTCGGGGAAGGTTGGAGGATTGCACAGGAACTGGGTACTCTACTACCTTATTCCCTGGGAACTTGTTCTACCAATTGAATGATTGGTTCCGTTCTATAATGTAGATTGAAGGGAGTATATAGAAATCCCATCAATGTCCTGCGGCAAAGAACCTGAGAGACTCTCTCAAAAGAAACCAAGTGTTTCATGGCCTCGCATTGAAGGGCTAGTGAAGAGAGACTAGAGGACTAACTAACTACCTAACTATTCAACTACCTGACCTTACTAAAATGGCTAAACGTGAATAAATTTGACTCAGGCCGCGAGGCAACAACCAGGGACCAACAATCAAAACAATGAAGGAGATTTACTAATACTTGCTCACCTGTGAAACAACCACTGCACAATTATGGAGCCAAAGAGTCTTCGGGCAGGAGGAGACCCTCTCGATACATCTTTCGAAAAGCAGCGAGAACCTCGGGTAACGAGGAGAAAAACGTTGAGGTACTTCGAAGGAAAGATTCTACCGCTATCGGTGTTCTTCACCGCATCGAAGGCGAAGATCCACCGAGAGCCTATGAGAACCTCTCGTTCTCGATGGAGCCATTTCCCCCCATTTTCGTCTTACGTCTCCTGATGAAGGATTGTCAGTTCTAAGGCAAGTTGATCCGTCGTTGCTTCTTTTAGTATTGACAGTTGTCAAAACTCTACTGCAGGCTATCGCGCTTCGCCCCAGTGCCTGACTCCATACTCATTTCCGATACTGAGAGGGAATCCCATGACAGAGGACGCTAGCCGTATCCGTAGATTGATGCCTTAGTCCTCGTCGGGAAACGGTGCATTACCGCATTCCCTTTTCGGGGAAAGTGGTTTCGTCCCGCTTGGCAGCGTCATAGTACGCACATGTACATCATGTCCCTCATGCCCGTTGCCTGTGAGTGACTCATGAACACACCCAGTGTTATGCATCTCCCTGACACATAATTCATGCATTACCACTATGACTCACGGTATCTATCTGTGAGAGTTAGTAGGGCCCATCCCCTTCCCGATTCAGTAAACAGATGGGGTAGAAGCCTGTGGAATGCAGATTATATATCTTTCAAGTATACCCGACTGCAGCCCCAACAATGCACACCGAACAGTTGTTACCTATCGTAATCCAGGTTGTCTAGACCCCATATGGACCGGAGATAAACCCACTTGCATATCGGCCAAAGGACCACCGTCTCGATTGCAGCCATGCCATCTACTGCAGTGATCCGTCGTGAATGATCTGCTGTGTTACAGAGCAGTATGATGATAGATACAAGTAACCCGGGAGTATTGAAACCTCCGTCATCACTGCATATGCAGAATTGAATACAACACCAGGAACAGTCCTGGCCGTGCAACATCACTGTCTTCTTGTACTTGTCTTAGTTTTCGAATTACAGAAGTCCCATGGTCTACTATGATATACAGCCTCAACTGTATTGATGAGCTGACTAGAGCGAAGAGGTCACAAATTTGAAAAAAGCCCTACAGCGTACGAGCATGAATTAGAACTGGCCTGCAATTCGTGGTATAATGACATTGGTAGCAACACTTGAACTCAGCACATCACAGCGTATTTAGAATACAAGCAACCAATTGATCGAGATAAACCCTTGAACACCTGAGACGCAAACAGACGAAAGAAGGATGATGGTAGGAAAAATACTTGTCATTTGTAGGAAAAATCGACCATCTTCAGTGGCTCATCCAGACTCAAAGTCACCGTTGTTCCTTGAACCAAAGCAAAAGCTTACAAGCTTTACTTATATAAACTTTTACTCGGAGGACTTTCGAACCTTTGGCGGCTCCTCGCCGTATACCTCTTGATACTCGCGGAGATAACGTTCTGTATCGGCGAGTTGGAGTTTGTGGTATTTCTGGTCCATGTTAGCTTCATCCACATATGTGTATCATCTTCAGAAGGGCGCGGGGAGGCGTACCTCTTTCTCCGTGTCCGTCAAGCCATTCCATTCCTCTGCGACCCGTGCACTAATGTCCTTGACGGCCATGTGTTTGAAGTCGCCCTGACCAGTGCGTTCAAGGTAGAAGAAGACATAGGAAGAGGAAGGACGCTTAACCAATCGCTCATCCCGAAGAAGGGAATACCTCTTGCTCGTGAGCCTTGTCAATTTGTTTCGTGCGAGATTCGCTTCTTTGATCTGAAGTGGCGTGTGGGATTTGATCCATTGGTTGTATGTAGACTCATTAGAGTTTCTGTTGGACTCTGCAACTGCGGTGAGGCGCTGTCATATCTAGTCAGTAATTTACACACTGCCACAATCCATTCGGGTACCGGACGAACCTCTCGCTCTTCCTCACTGATTGTCTTGGTGAGCTCACTAGCAGCTTTGAACGCCTCTTGCGGGGTCTTGTGAGTCTTCTTCGTTTCTTGAAGCTTTTCGATAATAATCAAGTTAGACACACGCTCCGGAAGTTTCTTTGGTGCTTCCAGCGCAGTAGCCTTGAGGGCCTTAATCTGATCCCTGAATTCCCGTGCCTTCTTGGCTTCCTTTTGCTTCTCAGTCAATTGCTTTCTTGGCTTGGGTTTGGGCTTCGTTGTCGAGCTCTTCTTGGCTTTTTTGGTTTTCTTGGTCCCGCCCTTGGTGGATTTGGTCGCCTTTGTCTTCTCGCTCTTGGTATCACTTGTGGTCGCATAGGTCTTAAGTAGGCGTTGCGAGAACACGCTGGTCGACGGAAGTACCCTGGAAATTGGGCGTAAAGTCTGACCGCGCGTAATCAAAGAAATGCGTCTCACATGGCTCTGGGCAACAGCTACACGGATAGGACGAGAGAACGCATCGCTAAGATGCAGGCTCCGGAGGAGGCCTCCTCCACGGCGAGCTAGATTCAAAGGCATGGTCCAAACAATGCGAGGAAAATAACTGCAATTGGGAAGGGAACCGACAATGTAGCATGTAAGTGCTATTCAACAAAGACAGGAGAGGCTGAGCTCTAAGATTAGTAGTACTAGGAGCTTCTGCTGCAGGGACCTTAGCTGCAAGAGCTCTAAGACGAATGCGGGCGGTTGGGATCGCGTCACTCACTGGTCGTTTGGGGGTAGACCGAAATAGGAAGGTATACACACGTGATCGAAGCTGCTAGGAAGCTGCTGAATCACGTGATAGATAGGGCCCTTTGGGTTGCCAGAGGATAAGGTACAACTGAAAAAAGAATAGATGGAGAACCGTATCTCCGCGCTTCGGAAGCCGCCAAACCTCGCCACCGTGCTCAATCCGACCTTTACTGATTTTATAACAACAGAGCCTTGCTTTTAATGGAAGGGTAATAATTGCTCTGATATTTACTTCGCGTACTCGAATTCCTTTGAGCTTCAGTAATACTCACTCATCGCTGGCCTGCAACAATGGCTCGCCACGGGGATACTCGCTCACCATCACCTGTAGGCAGCACATATTCTTCGTCCAGACGGAGTCGCAGAGATGATGATCGCTATGAGAGGAGTAGGCGAGACGATGGGCGCAGCTACCGAAGATCTCGCAGCCCTGAGGTATGTCAATCGGATGCCCCAGTCCTATCCTGATCTTTCTCTAATATCTACATTCAGAAGCGATACCGTGAACGCGACCGTGATTCATATCGTAGACGTGACCGCTCGCTAGACAGACGCGCCGATTACCGTGATGAAGATACGTATAGACCAAGTCGACGGGATCGTTCCCGCGATCGACGTCGGTCGAGAGATAGAGATGATGATCGGGATTACCGTCGCAGAAGTCGCGATAGAGATTTTCGAAGCAGGCGAGATGACTCCCGCGACAGGGCTCGGAGACGGACAGATGATTCTGCTGACTTGAAACACAAGTCTAGACGGGATGATAGCCGGGAGCGGACCAGAGATTCCGTTCCCAGGTCTCGAGAGGTAAGCGCATATGGTCCCCTTCGATTCTATAGTCGGGTACTCATCGACCGTATTATCTCACAGACATCGAAGCCTTCGACGCCAGCGGCCAACACTGGTCCGACAGAAGACGAAAAGCGAGCCGAAAGACTAGCCAAGCTCGAAGCTTGGAAACAAAAGCAAGCCGCTGAGAAGGAGCGCAAACAACGAGAAGCCGCCGCAGCTGGTGGGGCAAGAAGCATCCTAGATGAGATCGACAGAAAGTCAGGTTTATCACCGGCTGTTGGGTCTCCCCAGTCTCCTGCGACTCCCGTTGACGCTGCCCCAGCCGCGTATGCTGGAAAGTTTGACCCGAAGGCGATTGCAAAGAGTGCCGCACCGGTGCCAGCTGTGAAGTCTGTACTGGGGGATGATATTGCTGTTCCGCCGCCCGCTAAGACATCTGCTACCTTCCCTCCTACAAAGACTCAGGTTCAAGCTAACAAACCTTCTGCTACGACAAGCAAAGCTTCATGTACGTCTCAGCCTTCTGCTCATTCTAACTTGGATCGCACTAATTTGACATTTGGCAGCTCTGAAAGTAAAGGGAAACGTGGGTAGTTTTGGTTTGGGAGCCAAGCAGGCCACAGATACCGAGAAAGCGTCAGCGACGAAGACCCTAGGCTTTGGCGAAGAAGAATCCACTCGGCGGAAGTTGGAGAGATTACCAACACCTCCGTTAGATGACGCCAAAGACGCTAATAAGGAAGAAGATGTGACAGTAGAAGACGATGACGATGACGTTGACATGCAGGATGGTGGCACTGAGGAGGAAAATGCAGCCGCAGCACGAGCGGCTGCAGAGAGGAGAGAAGAGCGACTGCAGAATGAGGCTCGTGGTTCTCAATCAAATGGCGACGTTCAAATGAGTGATGCGTCGAACCAAAAAGCGCCGGACGACATGGAAGTGGACGCACAAGAAGAGGAAGAAGTGGATCCCCTGGATGCCTTCATGTCTGAATTAGCAGAGTCTGCCCCTCCGAAAAAAAAGGTTGGCGCCAAGTTCGCGAAAGCCAAAGCACAGCAGCCTGAGGCTCTCTTTGGAGACGAGAATGATATGGACATGACCGCTGTCGGTGACGGCGATGCAGATGATTTCCTTGCTATTGCTAACAAGGCCAAAAAGAAGAAGGATATCCCAACTGTTGATCACAAGAAGGTGGAATACGAATCTTTTCGCAAGAAGTTTTACACCGAGCCTTCTGATTTAGCAGCGATGTCCGAGGAAGAGGCTGCTAGCCTGCGGTTGGAACTTGACGGCATTAAAGTCCGTGGTGTGGAGGTTCCTAGGCCAGTGTCGAAATGGTCTCAGTGTGGTTTGGGTGTGCAAACCTTGGACGTGATCGATAGACTAGGCTATACTGCACCCACTTCGATCCAAGCGCAAGCTATCCCAGCGATTATGTCCGGCCGTGATGTGATCGGTGTAGCGAAGACTGGTTCGGGTAAAACGATTGCATTTTTGATCCCTATGTTTCGGCATATTAAGGATCAGAGGCCGTTGGACAATATGGAAGGTCCTGTTGGTCTTATAATGACACCGACTCGTGAATTGGCAACACAGATTCATAAAGATTGTAAACCGTTCTTGAAAGCTTTGAATCTTCGTGCGGTTTGCGCTTATGGTGGCGCTCCAATCAAAGACCAAATTTCTGACCTAAAGCGTGGCGCAGAGATTATTGTCTGCACACCTGGACGTATGATTGATTTGCTAGCAGCAAACGCTGGCAGAGTTACAAACTTACGCAGGGTCACATATGTCGTTTTGGACGAAGCTGATCGCATGTTCGATATGGGATTTGAGCCTCAAGTCATGAAGATCTTGGCCAACGTCCGACCTGATAAGCAGACTGTCTTGTTCTCCGCTACCTTCCCGCGGAACATGGAGGCCTTGGCTCGTAAGACCCTGAACAAGCCCGTTGAAATCGTGGTTGGCGGTAGAAGCGTTGTTGCGCCTGAGATCACACAAATAGTGGAAGTTCGGGATGAGGACAAAAAGTTTATCCGGCTTCTTGAGCTTCTAGGTAACCTGTACTCTAGCGACGAAAACGAAGATGCACGGGCGTTGATCTTCGTTGAACGTCAGGAGGGCGCCGATACACTACTTCGTGAGTTGATGCGTAAGGGTTATCCCTGCATGTCCATTCACGGAGGTAAGGATCAGATTGACCGTGACTCCACCATCGAGGACTTCAAAGCAGGTATTTTCCCGGTCTTGATTGCCACGTCCGTTGCGGCCCGTGGCTTGGATGTGAAACAACTCAAACTCGTGGTAAACTATGATGCGCCGAACCATCTCGAAGACTATGTCCACCGTGCTGGACGAACTGGCCGAGCTGGTAATACTGGTACAGCGGTTACGTTCCTGACAGAAGACCAGGAGCGGTACTCTGTTGATATTGCTAAGGCGTTGAAGCAGAGTGGACAGTCCGTACCGGAGCCTGTGCAGAAGATGGTTGACTCCTTCTTAGAGAAGGTCAAAGCAGGCAAAGAAAAGGCTAGTGCGTCTGGGTTTGGTGGAAAGGGTCTGGAGCGCCTTGATCAGGAGCGAGATGCTGCTCGTATGCGTGAGCGCAAGACCTACAAGACTGGCGACGAAGGCGAAGAAGAGGAAGAAAAGGATGAGAAGAATGAACAGGCCGAGGAACGATTCAACAAGGCTCTCTCATCGGTTCAATCCGCCGCTGCGCCAAGCTTACCTGGCGTTCCTAAGGGCATTGATTTGGATGGCAAGATCACCGTGCACAGGACTGAAAAGGATGCCAATGGTACGAAGAACCCACTGGACAAGGTGGGTTCGGCGGTTGCTGATATTCACGCTCGTCTGAGCCGTGCTGGTGTGATGAGGTCTGGAGTGCCCATTGACAACCGTGGGCCTGATGCCGGAGCTTTCCATGCTACGCTTGAGATCAATGACTTCCCCCGTAAGTTCATCCCCTGCTGTGGGCTTTTATCGTCGATTCTGATTCGGCTACTAACACAATCGCACAACAGAGAAAGCTCGGTGGGCAGTCACCAACCGGACCAATGTGGCCAAAATTCTCGAAGCTACAGGAACATCTATTACTACGAAAGGCAGTTTCTATGCCACTGGCAAGGAGCCAGGTCCTGGAGAGAACCCCAAACTGTATATCCTTGTTGAGGGTGAAACAGAGTTGTCTGTGACAAACGCCATGCGCGAATTGATGCGGTTACTCAAGGAGGGAACCATCGCTGCTGCCGATAGTGACGCGAGGGCTCCGGTTGGAGGACGTTATAATGTGCTTTAAGTATCAGCGCTTACATATAGCTGTATCATATCTCGAACATACAGAATCTTATTCCTGTGGAACGAATCGCACTCTTATAAGCTTGGGTATCATAGCCAAATTCCTCAACGGTTACTCTGTACCGGTGCCCACAATAAAGTCACGACGCGCTAAAGATCACTGTACTTAACTTAAACGCTCACTAACTGCCAAACTCCAAACGAAGAAAGCCAAAAAGAAAAGTAAAATAAAAGAAAGAGACACCGGCGATCGCCAGCCCAGAATCAAGCTTCAACCGAGTAATCTGTACATCCATCACTCCCATCTTCTAGCCTCAGCAGCATTATCCGCATCCCTAGCAGCTCTTTCATCCCGACTAGCCTCACCCAACGTCTGTGCGTGTGTCTGGGCCTTTTGAGCTGCCAACTTTGAACCTAATTTGCCCTTGTTGCCCGCCGTAGTAGATTCAGCCCGTTTCTAAAGATCCTGCATTAGCACACAACCTTGCCCAGCGACACTATACAGATCTCCTGGGAAAGAAAGAAGTAACTCACCTGCGCTGCAATCGCCGCATTCGTCCGCGCATCAGCTGTATCCGCGCCGGCCCCTGGAGCCCCCGCGCCGCCCAGGGTCCTCCCTGTACTGGCATTTGCGGGGAGCGGGGCGCGTGGACCGGAGCTGGACTTCCCTGTTTCTCCGGGGGGAGCATTGGCGGAGCCCAGAACGCGACCAGGGCTGGAAAAGGCCTCGGGTTCGTTTTTAGAGCGGGAGCAGATGTTTCCCATTCTTCTGGTTTGGTTTTGTTCTTGAGGTTGGTGGATTGGTGAGGTGAGGTCACTGGAGGACGGGAAGGATTGATTGGGTTTAGCGGTGGTGATCGGCCATATGCAGTGTATGTGTCTCACTGTGTGACGGGTTCCGACAGGGCTAGGAGGCTCGATTGATGTGATTGATATGTCAGATTGGGTAGATTTAGTTGTGGGGTAATGCGATTGAAGGTTGATAGAGCCGTTAAGATTTCAAGATTGTACGGAGATAAGAAGTTCATTAGGTTGTAGCCTACCCGTTCGGGGAATGACGATAAATCTGGAGTAAGAACGGCAGGTGCACGTGGTTTGGGCCCGCCTTGCATTTGCAATCCTCAGGTTGGAGATTTTCGTACTGCGCTCAGTCTTCCCATATCCATTGAATGGAAACAATATTGCAAAAATTATTATTGGGATGAGGAGTATTCTTGCTGATAATATGTCTTCTACTATTACGGGCTCATGTACACACAGCCTATCTCTGTTCGACCGGATCCATGGTTATAGGGCGATTTGTAGGGCCATCGACGAACATAAGTGGGTTCCGCTCTGGGAAAAAAGTGGTGCCAGGGGAAGTGGGAAATAAAGGAGCCTGATTCCACAGGCAACCTGCCTTTCGTGAATTTACAGTTTGCCGTTTTTTTTTTTTTTTTTTTTTTCTTCACACCCGCCTGACCCGTGACCCAATGAGGCAGTCACAGACTACTTAATCCTACTCTGGACACATACAGCCAGCAAAAAAGCTTTTTGAATGCCTGAAAAACTTGGTACCGAGATAATAGGGGACTTCACAAATCTGGGCACGCTCATTCGCCGAGGTTAGGCGGGCAATGACGCCCTAACCCGCAAGGTACTCACAGGCCGCTTTCCACTTCTCCCAAGGTCCTCAACCGTTGTCTGGATTTGGTGACTGAAACTTATGTGTGATAGAATCACCGCAAGACGAATCATAACTCTATACTGAAGGTCACTTCATTTTATACATCTCAGAACGCTCCCAAGGTCCTCGCCCCCCTCTGGTCCCTCATGCCCCAGGCGGTCAGGTTTTTTCGCTTCCAATTGCACCGGCCATTCCAGGCGATCGTGACGCACTGTGCATGGCTGGTTGAGCCTGGTTGACAATCTCGGTTATTATCCCCGTGGTTTCTGCAACTGGAAAGATAGCGATCCTTCTTATTGGTATGTAGTATATCCGTCTGCTCGATCGCGTGGTGGCGATGTGGGCTAACGCTTGCGAAGTCTGATGTGCTCAAGGACAAACACCCCATATCGCCGAGTGATCTCCCCCCGCCTCACTCTTCTCTTACCTTCTCTCCGGGTGGCACTTGCGTTTGACCCTTCGTGAACTTTGTTCCTGGATTCAAACCCAACGGTCTAATTTCTCTCCCGGATACCAGGAGACTGTCCCGACGTCAAGTGACGTCGGTTGGGTTTGCCGTACACCATGGCTTCTCACACTAAAAAGGACGATTACTGCCTCGAGTGTCAATGGGAGTCATTTCACATAGACGGGAAAGAATCGGAGAACCAGTCGGATGCCCCCGCAACATCCCAGTGGGATTGCTCAGGCGAGGGACATGACGCCTCGCTCGATCACTGTCATGTCGACGACGCCTGCTGCGACATGGACGACTGCTCCATCACTTGTCCCTCGGTTTGCGACGGGCTCGTGGAGTGCGATGACACCGTATGCACCGACACCCACTGCAATGATGGCTGTGACGATACGCATTGCGAGAACGCCGAGACCCTTTGCTTTGATGAACACTGCTTTGGTAACGATGGTAACGATGCAACTGTTGCAGACCATACGCTGGAGTCTCTTTTAGGGCTAGCAGGCCCCATTAATCTGGAATCCAACGAGTTACTTTCGGCATGTACAGTTGGACAATCCCAAGGAGATGAACTGCCCAAAACAACGGGTAATGTAACTTCGGAGATGGTGACTCCTCATCCCTCTCTGGATTCCCTCTTCCCTCAGCATTCGATCCCGGTCGCCCATTGCCATACGCACAGTTTCCCTCATTTTCATTTCCATGACTCCTCTAAAGACGCTCACGGCAACACGATGCACCAACCGTTCCCGGTTCAGAACGGTGTTAATCCGGCAGATGTATTCCATATGCTGGGAATGTGTCCCGACCTTTCCGCCTGTCAAAACTTTCATGTACACGAAAACACGAACTGCGACCATGTTAACAAACCGAATCCTGACACTGGTTCTAATTCATTCGCCTGTTTCCATATCCCGCCTAATGTTAATCTTAACGACCTCATGAAAAGCCCGGTACATATCCACAGTAACCCCTCGAGGGGCCCTTGTCGCACGCACCACCGCTGTCGCACGCATGCGCATGCTCATGTGCATCCATACGGACATTATTCGCCATACTCCCGCCAGTCCCGCTCCAGCGTGAGCTCGCAATTGATATCCAGCCCGGGCGATAGCCCTCCACCTCTGGAGGGCGGGACACCGTCGGTGCTGACAAGCCCGGTTACTCCGACCGAGAACGAAGTGCATATTTGCAAGTGGACCACCACGTCAAGTGGCGTCAAGACTATTTGCGGTGCTCAATTCTCTGATTCCTGTACTCTTCAGGAGCATTTGATCGCGCAACACATGTCAACCATCAATGGCGCCAAGGGTACCGGATACTACTGCTGCTGGGAGGGCTGCCACCGTCCGGATGAACCATTCTCGCAGAAGTCCAAGCTACAAGGCCATTTCCTGACCCATAGCAACTGTAAGTCCTCACCCGTCCTTATCACGGACAGAGACTGACACACAGGGAAGACAAAAACTTCAAATGCTCCGTCTGTGGCAAATTTTTCGCTCGACAGGCAACGTTGGAACGGCATGAACGAAGCCATCGGGGGGAGAAGCCCTACAAGTGCTCTGAATGCGGGAAAGCTTTCACGGACAGTAGTGAACTGAGTATGTGCAATTATATGGTGTAAGCTGGCTCGTGCTGACCGAATAGAAACCCATTCACGGACGCACACCGGAGAGAAACCCTTCAAGTGTACCTTTCCTGGATGTAACTTCCAGACCGGTGATGTGAGTGCCTAGCTTATCCATTACTTGAGGCCAGACAACGCTAACGTAATTCTTGTAGTCATCAAACATGTCTAGCCACCGCTTAAGTATGTTGTAGTCCATCTTTTTGCCAGCTGCGATACTAATAGATACAGCACATGGTGAACGGAAACACAAATGCATTTACCCAGGATGTACCAAGAGCTTTACTCGACCTGGTGAGTGCCTACGACATCTACTGGTGTTCCGCATGCTGACCATGCCAGACCAACTGAAGCGACATATGAGATCGACCCACAAACACGACAGTTCGACCGTGATGTCCCCCGTTTCAGAACAGTTTACACTCTCTTTCCCCATCGTTTAGAGTTTGGAGTTCTCAGGCCCTATTATACCTATTTTACAACCTACTGTCGACACGGGAATGGCGCGACCGGAGTTGGAATACATATCTAGGGGTCAGATTTACATTACATTCAGGACTATTCGCAGAACACAAAAAAGAGATACCTAGGTTGGATATATGATGATTAACGAGCTGTCTGATGACGATTCGTCTATTTTACAAGTCATGTATAGTATCAGTTTGCTATGTCAGCAGATAAACAGCATCACACCCCGGAATAATGGCAACAATGCAATATCATGATACCGTCGTCAACCAATGCCCAACAATCCAGTATCCATTACCCCCGCATTTAAACTCACAGACTAGACCGATAATTAATCATCCTTAGCCCTCTCCTCCAACGCCTCCACCGCATTCGCCAACTCCCTCACCCGCTGCCCAACCCTCCTCTTGACCTCCTGGCGGACCTCAGGCGCAATATCCCCTGGGTCAAAATACGTCGACACCATCTGACTCCCGGAATCATCCGGTTGCGTCTGCTGCGGCTGATGCGACTCCTCATACGAGGGCATTTCGGTCGTATAGAGCGCAAACACAGCGCTCAACTGATCCAATGCGTCGCGCGCCGACTCCCGGTCCGAGGCCGCGTAGATGGTCGTGCCGTTTGTGCTGTCCGTTGCGATCTCGAACTCGTCTTTAGCAGTTTCGTAGCTTTTGTTCTAATTAGTAAGATGTTCATTTGAATGTGGAGATAGGGAAGGGGGGATTTACAGTTCTTGGAGTTCTTCGACCATTAGGTCGGCTTGGCTTTTGCCGCTGGAGGTTTGGGTTGATCTCCATCTTGTTTGAGTCGCGAATTGGGGGCGAGATAGAGAGAGGGGTTTGGTTGTGGTGTGCATGCCTGGTGAAGCATGTTTTGGAAGACATGTTGATAGTGGTCGGAGGTTACGGATGGGGGTTGCGATGATGATCCGAGAGGGACGGAGGAGGCGGAGGGAGGTTGTACGCAGGGGAGACATAGTTGATATTTTCTTGCTGTTCTCAGTTAGAGTACTTGATTTTCTGTTGTTGAGATGGAATTGAGTAGATGGGGATGGTTTGAATTTGAAGTAAAACTCCGGAGAAGGAGAGTTGGAGATAAATGGGGTGATCAAAATGTCCGAGGGATGACGTCGGTACTTGACTAATGTATTCATTCATGTGCATTCCTTTGCCCTACTTTTCTCAAAGTATCACCCATACACAGTCCAGACTAACGAAAAACACTCTAATTCTATACCAATTGCTCCTAAAAAAAAGAAAACATATAAAATAAATCAGAGACCCATTTTCATGCCCCCATTAGCACACACCACACTGCCCGTACACCAGAACCCATCCTGGGTACACAACATCCCCACCACCCCCGCAATCTCACTAGTAAAGGCCGGCCGTCTGCCCCCCATTTTCTCCTTAATCAAATACCGTTGCTCATCCGTCAAGCTCTTCATCTTCTCATCTCCGTCCACAACCTTACTCAATGGCGTATTGTCCAGCCATCCCTGCATCTGCTGCCAAAACGCCTCCCCAGTAGCAAAATACATATCCCCAATAACCGGCCCCGGATTCACCGAATTAACCGTAGCCCGATCCGCCAACTCCCTAGCCCAAGTCCGCGTCATCGCCTCCAACGCCGCCTTAGTACCTCCATACACCGTCTGGCCCGTAAATCCAATACTACTCGACACACTGGAGATATTAACAATGCGCCCACTGCGATCGGTAGGCAAGAACGGCGCAACAGCCTGCGTCAGCAGCAACGGCGCAAGCACGTTAATGGTATAGTGCCAGTTGAAGTACTCGCGGTCCATAGGGCCCTTTTCCTCGTCATTGAGGAAGCGGTCCTGGCTCACGCCTGCGTTGTTGATTAGGATGTCGACTTGAAGAGTTCCTGTCGTCTCAGAGCTAAAGTTTTCCTTAGCGCTGTTGAGGATTGTGGTTACCGCTTCTTCGGTGTGGAGGAGGTCGGCTTGCACACAGAGACATTTTATGGAGTGTTGGCTTGCGAGCTCGGCGCAGAGGGTTTCGGTCCGCGATTGGGAGCTCGCGGACGTGTAGTTTAGTAGTAGAGAGCAGCCTTTTGAGGCGAGGTTGCGGGCTATCGCTTCACCGATTCCTGGGGGTTTGTGTTAATTGAGTTGCTTGTTTAGTGGGGAGGGGAATGGACTTGGACTTACCCCGCGAACCGCCGGTGACGATACCAAATTTGCCTTCTAGGGGTCTGGACATTTTGTGGAGGTGTTTTTATGGAGGTAGATGTAGAGGGTGAGTATGTACTGTACAGGAACTTGTAGATGTAGACGGAAGTTCCCACAGGTATAGGTTATAGAGACAAACTCTTAATACTTTGATCACGCGCCAGGAACGACGAGACTGGTTTATATAGTTTAGATCCCATCCCCAATACTGCGCCGTTTAAATACAAACCTATTTAACCGCTTCCTACCGATTTGCCCGCGCAATGGGTCATTGAAGGGTTTCTGTGGATCTCATGGATATTCTTTCTCTCCACCTACGGAAAATTACCCTTTTAGGTTCCGGTGGTACACCCAATCCTTATCTTATCATCATTAACATTGTCACCATCCCACCATCCCACCATCTTCACCATCATAGCGCTGCTACTCTCCGATTGGGAACTAAGGTAACGGTGGAAGTGCGGTAGTGAAATCCTTGTAGGTGAAAAGTATGTTCCAGATTGTTTGTGTGGTAAGTCGTTCAAACAAATGTTTCAAAATTAGGATTGTTCTCATTTGGATAGGAGTATCAATACAATTGGCTCTAAAAGCCTGCGAATATTCTATCTACACCTGCAAAAAGAGATCAAAGATTCGTCTTCTAATTAACACATCTACAACTCATTCCAAATATCCTTAAGGCCTCTTACAAGGCCGATTCAAAACCCATAACGTCATAATCATAATCATGCCTTAACCAGCGTCGCAACACTGTTCGCGCGGAAATCCCGGCTGCTAAACCCAGCCTTGAAGGTGAAAGCTCCAGCTGGAATACGCCAGTCCTGGACAACAACATCCCAGTAACTGACATCACGGCGCATCAAGTCAAACTTGACCGTCTTCTTCTCACCAGCCTCAAGCCAGATCTTGTCGAATCCACGAAGTTGGCTTGGCGGGGTACCAGCGGGCGCGGAAGTAGGGAATTGAACGTACAGCTGGGGCACAGCGTATCCAGCAACATCCCCGGTGTTGGACACTTCCGCCTCTAGGGTGTAGACTGTTTCCCAAAGGGCGGGGTTACCACCTGGCTCGGTGGGCCGCTTAGCCGGGAGAGAGGTAAGATTGGCGGCGGCGGAGCCCTTTGCCTTGAGGTCTTTCAGGTCAAAAGTAGTGTAACTTAAGCCGAAGCCGAACTCGTAGCGCACGGAGATGTTGTGTGCATCAAAGTACCGGTAGCCGACTTCGAGTTCTTCGTCGAACCAGCTCTGCCAGTCGTAGGTACCGTTAGTCTGCACGGCGGTGGTCAAGGGGGCGTTGTAGTCGGACTCGTTGTATGCGATCACATACGGCAGTTTCGCTGATGGGTTCACGTCGCCGTAGAGGACGTCGGCAATGGCATTCCCGGTCTCCTCGCCAGCGTAATGCTGGGCCAGGATAGCGGTGACGTTGGGGTGGTCGGCGAAGGGCATGACGTTGACGCCGCCCGAGTTTGTGATCACAATGGTGTTGTTGCAGTGGGTGGCAACGGCCTCCACGACGGCATTGCCATTCCAGTCGAGTTCCAACGAGGTTCGATCTTCACCTTCTGCGGAGAAGGATTTGAGGAACACGAGACAGACGTCGGGTTGCTGGGGGATCCACAGCGGGGAGGTCAATGCTGTCGTGGTGAGCAGGGTGTTGTTCAGATATGACTGGACCAGGGAGCCATCCTTGCGAGCCCGAGCATTGATAGCGTCAAGGGGTGTTGACAGGTACGAGAACCTGCAGGAACCGGAGCCTGAAGAGCCTGCGAGAACACCATACTCGAAGTCGGCCTGAAGGTTGGGACCTTGCGTGAGAGGGCCGGCATCGTTTCCGGCGATCACAATGTTACGGGGTTTGCGGAGGGGCAATGCGTTGCGCTCGTTCTTGAGCAGTACCGTCGACTGACCTCCATGCTCGCGAATCATGGCACTGTGGTTTGCCCGAACGTCGCGGTTGGTGGCACCGGTGAATTTCCAGTCGTAGAGCCAGGTGTCGGGGGCCGAATCAACATTGAGAGGGCCGACGGAAGCGTCCACGCTTGGGTAGTTCTTCTCCTGGCCGAGCCAGAAGTAAGGAGTCATGATACGCACGATCATGTCATCCAGACGGGACATTGGAACAGTGCCGTTTTGCACAGCTTCAGTGAGGTTCTTGCCAAAGAAGGATCCTTCCGTCCAAAGCTCACCATAAAGGGTGAATCCTCCGGGCATGGTCATGTCCATTCCGCTCTCGATTGATGCCACACCACTGTGAGTAGCACCCCAGTCAGACATAACATATCCTTGGAAGCCAAGCTCACCCTTAAGAAGGTGGTTGAGAAGGTAAGAGTTTTGACACGAGTGAGAGCCATTCAAACGGTTGTACGAGCACATAGCACTAGCAACTCGGGCACGAACGGCGTTTGCAAACGGCCACATATAGATCTCATGCAGGGTACGGTCATCGATGTTGGCAGAAACGGAATCCTGGATATAGGTAGTCTCGTTGGCATCCGGGGCATATGTGGGGTTGCGCTGCGTCTCTTGCTCGTTGGCAATGAAATGCTTTGCATTTGCCTGAACACCCGCATCTTGCATGCCGTTGATAGTCTCCTCCATGCAGACACCGGTGAGGTAAGGGTCAGCAGCGAAGCCCTCCCAGGTACGACCATCGTAGGGACTGCGGCCCAGAGGCCCTCCGATGGGGCCCAAGATGACATGGGAGCCCTTTGCTTTGTGCTCCTCGGCCAATGCATATGCTCTATCATACAGCAACTTGCGGTCCCAGCTTGCGGCGGCTGAAACGCTGCTAACGAAGACACTGGAGTAATCTCCCTGCTGTACGCATTGAGGTCCGTTTTGGAGGCAGATGCCACTGAAGTTGAGACGTGGGATAGGGAGAACGTTGCCAACGCAGGGACCGGGTTGGCCTGTTGCCATCCAGGCCTTCTCTTCAAGCGAAAGCTTGTTCACCCATCGTTTGGCTTTCACCAAAGCAGTTTCCCAGCCACCATTGCCGGTAGTGTTTGCTGCTCAGTGTCAGATTAGAAGTCGACAAACTCCAACCTATGTAATGGATAGAGATTACTTACGTGAAGGAAAGACAGGCGGAGAGTTGCCATAAGGCGTCAGGATAGTGGTGTTAAGGGGCTGAACATAGCTGAAAGGCTCTCCTGGGTGGTTAATCGGTGCCTGGCAGGTGTCGGCTACCACCGCCGAAGGAGCTGAGAGAAGTACCAAGGCTCCGAACAGAGCTTGTGGTGACAACATGACGACTGGATGTCGAAGCTCTTCAATTCAGTCAAGACTCGGGAAGGCATGACTTCTCTTAAATGTCATTATTTGAGGCATTTCTTTGAGCATCCCACCCCGGAGATACCCCAGAGGGGCCCCAAAGGGCTCGCAGATCCACTCGTGGGGTGTTATATTGCTGGGAGCCGAGTATGATTGACTTTCAAAGAATGACTAGCGGCTAATGCGATGTCATGAATTATGACTGGCTTTATTAGCTTCACTAATACAGGCTTCAGCCGAGTGGCGAGCCCACTATACAGTCTACAATTCCCGGTAGATGACTACATGACGATTTGGTCGGACGTCCGATTACTTTCTCGGAGTGGTGGTCCGGGTAACACGGCTTTGTTGCCAGCCGATAGAGTAGAACATAAAAATTGCTTGACTTTCGGAGAGTCACCGCCGTACCGGTTACCACAACAGGATATTCGGATTCAACCCTGGTGAGCTTCCCATAGTCGGTATGCCGAGCAGTTCGTCATGCCTAGTGTTCTCCGTAGTATAGACATCGCTGTAGGTCATAGAAAAGCAGTTTTTGATTATCAACGGTTGTTCAAAGCTAATTTTCATCGCGAAATTGCAGAGAGATGTTCGTATCGTGACATAGGCTTTGGCTCTTACCGGGACAACTTCGGGTAAACAACCCCACACTTTCTCGTTCTTCCTCCACATATTTGCCCATCGTTATATCCGGGACTCCACGGGGCAGCGCCAAAGAGAACCGTGTTGGGAAGGTACAAAAATGCTTGTTGTGCTTGTCTCTTAACCCTCCAATCATCATGTCTGAAAGTGGAGAGCCAATAAATGCTTAGTCTTGCCAATTCACGGTTGGCTTGCTGACCCAAGGATGGCATCCATCGGGTCCGATCTAGGAGGCATTGTACGTAGCCGAAGCCGTACGCATGGCCCGGTGACGCGCCGACAGGACGGGAAATATCCCTCAGTTTGATCGGTAAACTTGCCTGCGGTGGCTTACTTACAATTCGTATCACCCAAAGACACCGGGAGACAACAAAAGAGACATACTAAACATTAACCTGCAACTTCTTAAACGCCTCGGCATTCTCCTGAATAGCCATCTCCACTGGCAATCTCTCCATACTACTCGCTCCATAAAACCCATGCACCCCCTTCGTCCTTTTCAATACGTACTCCGCATCCTTAGGTCCCGCCAACGGCCCCCCATGACACAACACAATAACATCCGGATTAATCTTCACAACCGCGTCCCTTATCCCCTGGATCACGGTAACACAGTCATCCAAGGATAGCGCTGTCTGCGCACCAATAGTCCCAGATGTCGTCAACCCGACATGGACAACGATGATGTCTGCACCGGCGCGCGCCATCCGCTCACCTTCATCTACGGTAAAGGCGTACGGCGTCGTGACGAGGTCCATCTCGTGCGCGATCCGAATCATCTCCACCTCCCGATCGTAGCCCATACCGGTTTCCTCGAGGTTCTGGCGGAACTTACCGTCGATGAGGCCTACTGTGGGGAAGTTTTGAACGCCGATGAAGCCGAGCCGGCGGAGTTCGGTGAGGAAGGTGCGCATGTCGCGGAAGGGGTCGGTGCCGCAGACGCCGGCTAGGACTGGGGTGTTTTCGACAATGGGGAGGACTTCGGAGGCCTTTTCATATTGATTGTGTTAGTTCGGTTGTAATATCGGTATCGTGTAGAGTCCATTGTTGGGAGCAAGGACAAGGTAGGTACGTAGGTAAAAGTGTATCGATATAACATGTAAAGTAAATAGTATAATAAGTAGGATATTACCATTTCAACAACGATCTGATTAGCATCAGAATAGGGCATCATCCCCGCCAACGAACCTCGACCGGCCATACGGAACCGACCCGAGTTATACACGAGGATGAGGTCAGCGCCGCCCTTTTCGATGAATTTGGCAGTTAAGCCAATTCCTGCATTTTATCCTGTTAGCATATCCTCAATATATATAAAATTTAATAATAACTATAATATGTCAGAGGAAGTAATTACCAGCGCCGGCGCCAACGATGATCTTCCCATCCGCGATGGTTTTGCGGAGACGGTCGAGCACTTCTTGGCGGGTGGTTGGGCGGGGCATTTTGTTTGGTTTAGCTGTCTTGACTCTTCAGAGATTGATAATGTTGTTTTCTGGGTTAGAGGTGTATGTATGTGAAGTAGGCCAATATTGTTTTATTAGAGAGAAAGAGGAGAAGAACATTAAATGTGGTCTGATTGTGACGTTAAATGGACAACTCATTCTTCAACCCCACCTTCGTTGCGACGTCATTTTTTTAAGCTATCTTATCAATGTTTTGCTCCATTATGTACATACTGTATATCACGAAGCCTGTAAATAGAGACGCATGCTATTTCACAGAGCTGAGGGCTTGTCTTATTGAGGCCATGAATGGTAATATAATGGCTTGATTTTGAGATTTGAGATTGTTCTGGTTTATTCGTACAAGGCTACCTGTGGGATATATATTTACATAGTCTCCAACCTTGGTGTTGTAATGTAAACATTGGATATTGTCAACAAAGTACCGGTGACATAAGTGGAAAGCACAGAGATAATCGGACGTTTCATGACTACCTTTTCCATCCATACCCTCCCAATCTTCAGAGAAGCTGGAACTTAATACCCAGAGGGAACAACTGCCCAAAACTGTACCGCAACGGCAAGTCAAATCGACGGGGCATGATTACCTATGGCATAGGTTACCATATGTACTAAGGAAGTACCAGGAGAACATGTAAGACACTTGCTTCCGCTTCAGTATACTCATCTCCCGAGTAGTAAGATGTGGTGCTGTTGAAAGGTCACCGTGCCTTCTAGGTCTAGGGCTAATGTTGGTGCCTGAGGTATGCACTGCTATTATAATGACCAGCCTATAAAACTTCACGAGGCACCTTTCACTCAGTAACACAAGTACAAATTTCCTACAGACCAACGGAGCAAACAAAGTAGATGTCAAAGTGCCAAAGGTCGTTTGTGGTGATCTATGCGTATCACCAATGAGTACCTTTTTTACTCATCTACCCCTAACCCCCACAACTTCATCACCCTACTTCATTATGAACAGTAGTTTCGTAGCCTTTGTTTAGTACATACTCTTTGTACAAGTTCTGAGATGAAATATGTCACCGTCAACCTGTCGCCTCGCCCATCATGTTGGCATCATGAAAGAAGGCTGACCGCTAGAGGAGGTCGAACAGAACAAAAACGAAATAATAAATAAATACATAGAATATAATAAAAAGGAATAAGAGAATGAATTGCCCCCTACTCGGTTACATACCGTTACACAGTCCAGGAGAAATCATGACCAGGCTGGATATGTTGATGTTGCAGATCACCGTATATACATGGACTACATTGACATACTATATCAGATTGGTACCGAATACAGACCTGACATGATTCACCATTCCGACATGCATTATCCATTAGTAATTAGGAACATAAAAGACTGAGGTCAGGCCCATGTTCACTTTATGACGAGTGTTTATATTTCAATAAAGTGCGGATCTATGGAATAATACCGCTTAAAGTATTGCATATTGCCTAGTTTAGATTCTTGCTGAAAACCTCTCCTGCCTGAGGTGTAGAAGCCGAGGGATTATAAAAGTAAGCTTGTTGCCCATTGGATACAGTGCTTTCTTTAACACTCTAACCAAGCCCTTACAGCATTTCTGATAATCAGACCCTAAGAAGCTCATATACATTGCCCACCACACAACACCCCCCCCTTCCCTCAATATAGCGCCCTTGGCTGTCATTGCTGCGACCACCCTACACTACACGAGGATAAAGGTCCAGTTACTATTCTCTCTTATGGCTACCAGCCCCGCCCTTGCTCAGCCGGTCGTCGAAAGAGATATCGAGAAAGGCGCCGTTGATTACGATAGATGCTGGTTGGAGAACTTCTCACGCAAAGTCGTGTCTCCGAAGTACACTCAACACAAGAGCCCCGAATATCTGACTCTTTGATTTATTGACTATTGTATAACAGAGAATACTAAGGGACTTCGTGATAAACCCCCGTCTGAGGAATTCTTCAAGAGAACCCTTGAAACCTGTGTAAGTGAATCATTCTATTATAGAAGACCCTCCGCTCAGCTGATTGTTTTCAAATACATATAGTGTAATCTAATACAAAGCAGATTCTTGTTTTCTCCTTGCCAGAATAAGATCTTCTATACCTGGGGGATCTCCTCATCCGGCACACCGTATGAATTTGTAGTTGAAAACAGAACCATTTAATCACGCGACCCCTTCTTGTTGTTCAGGTTGGATTGATTATGCACTTAAGACCGAATACAATGTATACAGGACTAGAGTGTGCTTTATATAGTGGGCTCGGTGGCTGAATAGTATACAGTGTATGTATGGACTATATGGACATATCATATCAATGTCGACTTTGGGCTGAGTCTTTACATTCCAATAAAATGTCGATCTATTCAAGACAGTAAGACCTCAGTATAAGGGAAACAATAAGCTAGCTCCACAAATCACTTGTATCGAGGGATTGCTTATGTTGAGTTCCCTATATATAGAAATATTATCATATAGTAATATATTTAGTAAATATCTTTAGTTTAAGGACTGAAAGACAAAGCAGAGTAATAGAATCTTATCATTATACATATTGTCAACCCTCAAGGACAAGGGTCCAATGTTCTGGATTCCTACTTGCACGTCGGGTCTATTGTATATGAATCTCCACCCGCAAAGAATTAAATCTAGATTCAATGTCGTTCAGGTCGGACCGATAACCGAAAGGTTTAGCTTGGTTTTTGAGCGTTCAAACTCGTTTGACATTTTGATTACGACTTACTGTAATATGGAACTCGAGGATCCGAAGAATATACCAGACCATATCCGTTCAGATATCATTAGATAACTGGTTTTCGCTTGAAATCAATGTGATGGACAGTCAAGTCCAAGTGACCAGATAAAGTGGTACGCATGAGAACTACAACCGTGTCCAATGTTACATCTGCTGGCATTTATAGGATATAAGAAATGGCTTAACCTTTTATTGGGACAAAATAGAAGCACACTAATAGTGTTGTATCGTCGCATTTTAAAGTAGACCTTATATCATTGTATCTTGTTAGTGATACGATTGAGTACCCATTGTAGAGATGTTGCGCAAGTAGATCCTTAAATATGAAATGTAGAACTCATTTAACCCTCTTTTTCTGGGGAAGTCAACGTCCGTCTATGGAATATAGCCCTAACCTGACGTTTAGTCCTTTTTACACGGCAAAGCAATATATAAGAATAGTATAATTCTCTGAGAGATGGTCTACTTGATTTTTTTATTACTTTGTTCTATGGCTATCCTAGCTGTCTTCTATAGAATCTACACTGTTTCTTAGACAGTCAGTCCATCATCCTTGAATATTTGTTTAGTAGGGCTTTAGTAAAGGATAGTAAGATTTGGAATTAGACTTTGAATTCTTATGTTTACTATACTAAGGATAAAGTTTTGTGTTTTCTCTGGGTAATATTAAAAGGGGATAATGAATATAGTGTTGTATACTGAATGTTTGAACTAGTCTGGTGTCCTAGTCTCTTATGAGCTGAACCGTAGATTGATAGTAGCCCCGCTATGTGCATTCTTCAAAAATTGACTAGATACCTAAACTAGACATTATGAGCGTGTGCTAAACGCTACATGCCCACTTTTCAACTGAGCTTTCAATTTATGCCAAAAATAGCTGGAACAACTTCAATTTCCCCCGAAACCTCCACTGGCCATGTCATATCCCAATCACATATTATCAGTGCAACCCCTCAGACACAACGCGCTTATCGGCTCCAAACATTATCATGCGCCGGCTGACCCGGCTGCGGCAACTGATGAGCAGGCCGATCACCACCCGCATTGCCATTCGCCGTTATATGCTCCTCAGAGTCACCCACCTCCTGATCCTCTGCACCTGCAATCCTAATAAAGCGATTCGCGTTGGCCCTTCCCATCCAACTCGAACCCCGATTCAGCTGCGAGCTCGCCATCTGCAATAATCAGTCCACCAAAGCCTAGCCAACAGGTGCCAAAAGAGCCAAGAAGCAGACTACGATGAATGTTAATAAGACGTACCTTAACAACTAAAACCAAAACCGCAGCCCAGAACACCATCCACGCGGCGGTCTTATCCTCCTGCTCCCACGGCCCCAGACAGGCCCGGTCATACCCGATCTGTTTCACACAGGCATTGTCGTTGTTGTCCTTGTCCTTGAATGGCCATGCCCTATCCTTGACACTCCGGAACCCGCAGCAATGCAAGCTATCCTGGATGGTGCGTATAGCGCGCGAATCCTTATTGTGGTAGTAGGATTGCCATTGGTTGTTCAGTTGGCAGACCAGGAGGTCCGGGGCGAAGAGGTAGGTTAGGGCGAGAGTTCCGAGGCCGGATGGGAGGATTGTGAGAAGGTAGGAAATTGCAGAGGTTATGAACTGGTTTCGGAAGGTCGGAGTGTTGGTGCCGGTTGTGGATGGGTTGGAGGCGAATCTGGCGAGGAAGAGGAGGATCGGGGTTAGGATGGGTAGGATTGTTGTGGTTGCTGAAAGGGAGATTGGGAGAGGGAGGTAAAGGCTTGTGGTTCTTGCCCAGGCGATTCTGTTTTTTTGTTTTTTTGTTAATGATTTTGTTTTCTTGGGGATGGGATGACGTACGCGCCGAGGATGATGGAGACGGTTGTACACTGTGTGTGGTTTTGTTAGTTTGGTCTGCTTTTATTTGGTGTTGGGGGTCGTACCAGGAAGAGAAGAGGTAAGAGCAGCTGCATTGTTACTGGTGACTTCGTTTGAGACGAGATTCTTTGACGGGATCAAGCCCTGATGTGTGTTGAAAGGAGAATCAACAATGGAGATGGAGGAGGTGATGAGTTGGATCATGTGCGGGGTTATACCTAATTGGTGGGCGAGGCTGCATGCTCCAATGCAGACTGCATATAACTAGTACAGATGGAGATATAAAAGCGACTTGGACTACGGAGGAAGTACTACTCGATGATACTACAAAGGCGAAGGTTTCTCAAAGACACGAAACAAGGGTTATATTGCGGTGGTTGTGTCAACCTATTCTAGGAACATTCCAAACCCGGATACACATAGACCCATGGCAAAGGGAAAATAAACAACAAGAAGTAGCGAGAAACGGAATGAAAGAACCGGTCCACATATAAAAATCAAAGAAAACGGTCATGTAGATAGAATTTCTGCTCCTACTCGGGGTGGGGAAGATCGTTCCCTCACCCTCGAGTATAGCCTAGTTTGTTCTCATGAATTTCTCAACATGCCAAACTTCACGCAAGGAACATTCCAGTGCGGATTAGAAGATCAACCCAACCCACACTGGATCCTGGTCAAGAAACTTGTCTGCTTCGGATACATTCAGGGCTTTCCTAAATGAGAAGATGGAATCTGCCTCTCGACATCTTCTCAATGCTCTCTGACAGATGGCGAAGATCGCCACGGTGGAGAATCCACAGACGGCCTGGTAGTAAGCTGCCCCTGCAGCCCCAGTCTTCGATGTGGTGATGATGACTTTGACCGCGTTATCCCTACCTTGTACAATGTTGAAATAGTACAGTGGGATTTCGACGTCGTCTCCGTAAATGACCTCCGAAAAGATGTGCCCGAGGCAGATCTGAGGTGTTTCAAGGCCTGTTGGTTCCTGGACTGGCTGCAAAGGACGGTGCTGGGTGTCGATTGGCCAAATCCAATCAAAGAAGGTCCTCAGTGTGTCCATTTCACTTCGCAGGAAATGCTTCAACAGTCGGTACATGAAGAAGCGGTACAATTCATGAGAAATTTGCGTGTGGAGAGTGATGATGTTCACCACGTGCAAGGAACAGGGAGTTGAGACGGTGTAATAGGCATCACTATTGAGCGGGACGGATGCCATATCATCACCACTGAGCAGTCTGGTAAAATCAGAATTACTGCAAGGAATCGTCTCTTGAAAGATCAGGATGAAGTTCAACCCGAGGTTCTAGAGCTCCTGATGTCAGGAAGGTTTGCCGGCCAACCGAGTCAGGGGTACTCATGGGTGTCTGTCCACCGACTGGACTCCTGATTTCACCAGTCGATAAGATCTGTGATATTGTAACGTCGGAAGGGTTCTGCGTCTAGTGCCCTAAGAACAGAAGTTAGTTGCGCATGCACCAAGAAATGTAACCCCAAAGAAACACATACTAAGGACAAAGCTTGAAAAGCGAGATTCTTGAAGATTGTGATTGTTCTGGTCGTATCATGCCAGAATCTTTGAATCAATAACCACTGGGTTGATACTGGAAGAGGAGAGACGAGGAAGTTGGAGGGAGAAACGAGTGGCTTTTATGGCTATGGCCAGATGGACGCCTGCCCCTTGCAGCAGCACTAAAAAACATATTTCTGAGAAAAGTGCAGACACTCGAGCATGGAAACTGTTATGTGTCGTCCTTTTTGCAGCTAACTTTTGGACGTTGGGAGGGCCTGCAACGAGTGCTTTTGAAGCCATTTTCCCACGGAAAATGTCGGGAGAAATTTCTAAAACCTATCCATAGCCAATATACTTGAGTTAGAAGACAACTGGCAGTTTTTTTCGCGATCAAATTGCTGTTTTGGTTGTGGATTTTGATCTCGAAAATCCGAGGTTGAAAATTGCAAATCTGGGATATCATGGCAAGTTCCGCCAAACTCCCAGACGTTGCTCTCCCAGGGTCTGAATATATGACCACCACCTACACAGTGTTCTTTTCATTCTGTCCCTTGGGTAGGTCGTGATACACTGTAACATATGATCTTACAATGATGTGACCAAATCCCCTAGCATATCCGCCACACTGACCGCAAACTCGGGGTCATTGATAGCTCTCGGATCCCTGACAACAGAGATACCACCCCCCTCCAACTCCTTCTCCAACGTAGAAAACAACACTTCGTCCACCTCGGGATCATAAAACGGCTGTCCGGGGGTATCAATCATACTAATCCCCCCAGTAGGAAGCACCAGACGAATCAACTCCGGCTTCGCAGCACAAGTCCTCAACTTCTCCGCAATAAACCTCGCTACCTCCGCCGTCTCCTCAGCATTCGGCCTCACCAACGTCACCGTCGGATTATGCTCATAGATCAGCCGTCCTTCATACCGTTCCGGGATGGTATTCCGCGGCCCAAAATTGACCATATCACAAGCCCCCACACTGACCACCTGCGGAATGCCCGCCTTCGCAGCAGCAACCAACCTCTCCGGTCCAGCCGAGAGCACACCCCCCATCACCTCATCGACAACCTCAGTCGTCGTCAAATCCACAATAGCATCCAGTTGCCCTTCCCGTATCAGTCGCTCCATAGCCTTCCCCCCAGCCCCCGTCGCATGAAACACATACACCTCAAACCCGTAGACATCTTCCAAATGGGCTCGAATCCGATCCACACCCGGCGTCGTCACCCCGAACATCGTTATCCCAACTCTCTTCTTCTTTCTCCCTTCAGAACTACCCCCATTACCACTTTCTTCTCCCCGAGACTCTAGCAAAGAATTATAATACCCCCTCGCCATCCCAAAGATCGCACACGCAGCATTCCGCAATATCCCCTCCAGAATCCAATTCCTCCCCGCAATGTCAACAACACTGTACATCATCGTCACATCCGTCTCCTCAACATAAGGCTTGACATCCCCACTCGCCATCGTCGAGACCATCAGTTTCGGGAACCCCACGGGTAGGACATTCCGCATCGCCGCCGTCGCGATATTCGTCCCGCATGACCCGCCTATCGAAATTATGCCGTGGATTTTATTGCCCCTGTACAGGTCTGCGACGATGGTGGTGGCGTGGTCGGAGGCGGCTTTGATGTATTGGGCACGGGGAGCGGGGAGGTCTTTTTGGGGGATTGTGTAGTTGATTTTGAGGTCTGTTGGTGTTGCTGTTGGCTTTGGGGGCTGACGGCTGACGTCTAGGACTAGGATGTTTGGTTGGGGGGTCTGGGTGAGGAGGGTGTGGTGGGTGTAGTTTAATTCGGGGGTTTTGGTGTCGAAGGTTCCTAGGAGGAGGATTGTGGGAGGTTGCATTTTGATTATTTGTGTATTTGGCCGGTTGGTTTTATAGTGGTTGTTTGTATGATGAATGTTTGTATAGGTGATGTAAGTGGGGGTTGAGGGGGTTATAGAGTGTAAGTGGTGGGAGTAGGTGGTGGTAGTAGAGTTGTTGTTGGGATGGACTATTAATTTGGTTCGATTGATTTATTTAAGTGGAAGGATACTAGGTTAAGCTCTGTGGGATTTAACTTGCGTGTGCTGTCGGTGGGGTGACGTCGCATTGATTGTATCATCGTGCAGATGGAGGTATGGCTTGATTGGTGATATTATGCCACTCTGCGACTACAAATTGACATGGATGGTATATGAAGAGGTGACGATGAAGTATATTGTGAATATATGACTATCTTATAGTTCCGCTTAATAGAAATATGAAATTGAGAGACATCCGCACGAGAATCGCCATTTTGTATATATATCTGTAGACATCTATTTTAGCGTAAATTCATAGTGTGAATAGAGAAGATTCTAAGAATTCTATACAGAAAAGATATAGGCCCAATAATCATGAATAAAAATATATGATAAAGTGATACAGCTGCTACATATTCTTCTCGAAAACTATTGATTCGAATATCGCCAGTTTTGGTGTGAAATGGGTGTTCGGCGAATTACCTCAGTTTAGCGAAGAACCGTAGGTTAGTTTAACCTCTAGATAGGTGTTCATCGGTGATAGAATCTCACCCCCACGAATGTATATCGGCCCGAACCTTTGCCATGACAGATGCATAAACAAGCGTGTAGGTGAGAACTAAACCACTATGGTATTCTAGAAGAATTCTTTCCCTGACACTGAGTACGAATCCGGGAAGATCATCCTATAGTAATGTACGTTTTCCGTACTGCGGATGATCTGCAGATCCCAGATGTACTATTGCAGGCTAGGACGAACTATTCGTATATAGAGAATTTTGGTCCATGGCCAGCATCCAATCTCTACTTCTGGAAACCATTCCAGGAGAAGTACTGTGGAGTAATTCTCAAAAGATCTCAACCTACAGATAAATCTATTGAACACTTGCGCCCTAAATTATATTGAGAGAGCCTATGAAGAAGACCCGGATGGCTAATCATGCCCCATAACGAGCTCGTGCCTGTGGATAAAGTGACGACCTGATCGATAGTCTCTTGGAGCTATTGAATCTACCTATTTGGGTTCTTCATGGAGCATTCTGCTCTCTGGCCTGAGGCATCGTAGCCACGGCAAGTAAGTCTATAAAGATCTGGACAATTCCTGGATCCTGCTGTTCTTTAACATATCCTTTCACTTTTGTCTTACCAATCTTTCTGTAACGCTCTTGATCTCATACTCAAACTTTTGTCTTTTCGAAATCACCTTGACCCCCCACAAGTCAGATCCATCCAATATTATCCTAAACATGAAGATCCAGGCTCTCTGTTCGCTCGCTGTCGTAGGCCTTGCCTTCGCTAACCCAATCCACAACCTCGCGGAGCGCGGTATCGCTTTCACGGAATGTATCACGGGTGTGGTAGAGAAAGCAGTCAGCCAAGCGTGTACGACCGTTCCCGAGGCATGCGGCGGGTTGGACGCGTTCACATCGTGTACCACCACGGCTACTGCAAAAATCACCGATATTAAGGATCATAGTCAGCGTCGCTTAGAATGGCTGGACTCTGTGAACACTTGCGTTAGTGATACCAGAGTAGTTATATTCGAAAGAACTTATCTTACTGATTTGTTTGTATACAGGGCCAGGACTTGTGGGAAGTTCTGAAGGCTGCGGGTGTAACAGATGTTGATCTGAACAAACTGCAAGTGTCATTCTTGGAGATCGCGACTGAGGGTGTGTCTAGGTGCTCTACGAAGGCATAGAAGCATTTATTTAAATTGAGTGTGATGTTTGATGTTTTCTGGTCCTTGCTTGGGAGATGGAACGATTGATAAAGGATTTATGTATTAATAGCCTTTTAGGGCGGGCTACCTGTATGGGAATAGCAATACCCTGTGATATTATTAAAGAATTATTATTGTTATTATTATTTTACAGAAATAGCACAGGCAATACTGATATTGATATAATTAAAGCGAAGCTACTAGCCAATTTGTGATATACTCTATAGATACCCCTGATCAATAGAATCCACATGGAAAGTTATGAGAAGAGGAAGTCAATACACATCCCTGCTACTTAATAAAATCATAGCTCTTAGCTATGCAAATGGGGGGGGGGTATTCTTAGAGCTATGGTTGTTGAAGTCTACAAACATGGTGGTGCGATAACAAGAGCTGAAGCTGAAAACCTTTGGTGGGGACTGTACTCTGTACAAACTGAGGAAGATCACCGTGATCGGCAGATCCCAAGACCCGGATAGAGATGTAGCCCACACACTATTGCAGAGTAGCATGAACAACTCATGAATCATGAATACGTCTAGCTTTGTACACTTCACTTCAAGAGCCCACATCCAATCCTTGTTGTGGAAACTATTTCCTGTGAAGTAATTCAATTCTTTCCCTAGCATTTCCAGCCACGTCTATTGAACTTTGGGCCCCAGAACTATACGAAGAAAGTCTATGAGAAGAAACTCAGGAGACTAATCCTACCCCATAATAAACTTGCTTCTGTCATTAAATCGCCGATCCTAATAGATTGGTATCTGAATATGCGTATCTGCTAATCGGAAGTTGACACGATCATTTCCCCATGGTTCTTGCCAAGTCTAAAGTTGTTGGCTATTTGGTCAAAATTCTACTCCTGAAGCAAGTATGGCATTTGTTAAACTTATATTTCATTGAACAAATACAAATCTATGTGGCCCAGAAGTAGTGGGTCTTTTGTGGGATCTTCTCCTGTGTGAGGCAATTGCAGTCAAAAGGTATAAAGATCTAGGCCATTGCTGTCTGGATCTGCTGTTTCTTGAACATACCATCTTTCGTTTCTCTCATTCGTCTTTGGCATACTCATATATTTCTTTTTCCATTGGAAATCCTAGTTTCACCTCGAGTTGAGATTAGTTAGCATTATCTTAATATGAAGATCCAGACACTGTTTTCGCTCGCCGCTGTTGGCCTCGCCTTTGCTAGCCCAATCCAGAACCTCGAGGAGCGCGATGATATCCCTTACGCCAAATGTGTCACCGATGCCATACAGAAAATAGTTAATGACGCGTGTGCAGCCCGTCCTGACGACTGCACCCTCCGGGAGGAGTGGGCATCTTGTATGGCCAGAGCTGGTGGCAAGGCCAGCAACATTCTTGAACTTTTCCAGATTACCAAACATCTGCGAGATCAATTTCATATATGTGTAGGTAGCACCAGAGGAAGTATATAAGGCTTATCTAACTAATGTTTGTATACAGTATGAAGGCCTACAGGGAGGAGACGGAGTGCCTAGTGTGCCCGGACTGTACCAATCGATCGAAAAGAATGCGATGAGTGTTCATTCTAGCTGTCATTCGAGTGCACCAATTATTTGAATTGAGGGTGATACTTGGATGTTTAATAGTCCTTGCTTGGGAAATGGAACGATTCATAGGGAGTAAAGGAATAGGTATAGATAGCCTTTTAGGGACACCTTTTCTGTAATAGCAATTTTCTGTCATTTCATTGAGTACTGTTATTGAAATAATTGAGCGAAGCTTCTAACGAATGTTTATATACGAAGATACCCCTGATAATTAGATTCCACGTGGGAGACCTTTGAGAAAATGGAGTTAATTCAAGTGTCTGTGTTACCTAATAATACTATCAATAGATGTCAACTTGGGGCATTCTTAGAAGCATGATTGCTAATTTCTAAACACGTGTGGCGCGAAAACATGAGCTGGAGCTGTGGGTATTTATTTTCCAGGAGCTTTAAGTGGGGACTTGTACAGACCCAGGAAGATTATCGTGATCGGCGGATCTGAAGACCAGGAATATACTCCGTAAGACGTACCCTACAGCACACATACTATTGCAGGTTAGCATGTACATATACAACTCATGAATCATAAATAGGGGGGATACACTTTTGCACCCGGAGTACTCAGTCCACAGCCCACATCCAATCTTTGTTAAGGAAGACTCTTTCCGGTGAAGTGATTAGTTATTCGGCGACTGATGGATCTATTGAACTTTGTGCCCCAGTGTTCGTAAAATGACTTTGAAGTCCAACCCTACCCCATAATGAGCTCGCTTCTGTCAACAAATCGCCGATCTTAATAGATTGGTATCCATATAGTAGTATTTGCATATGCGCTAATCGGGAATTTGAAAAGATCATTTTCCATGGTTCTTGCCCAGTCGAAATATGATTGGATATTAGGTCAGAATTTAGCAGATTCATCAAGTCAAATTGTTTACTATTCCTGAAGCCAGTATGGCATTTTTCCAAAACCTACATTTAATTTTACCAAATGCCGATCTATGTAGCTAGAAGGGGTGGATCTTTTTATGGAACCTTCTTATACCTAAGGCATTGCAGTCAGGGTATACACATCGGCGCCATTACTGCATCTGCAGGTTTCCTTTTTTTTTTTTTTTTTTTTTATGTTTTAAACATACCATCTCTCTCTCTTTTCTCTTACTAGCCTTTTTACAACGCTCCTGATACCACACACGCAACCATATCTTTCTCTATTCGGAAATCAGTTTCAGTTCCACCTTCGTAGTTACGATTACCCAACAGCATCTAAAGATGAAGATCCAGGCACTGTTTTCGCTCGCTGTTGTAGGCCTTACCTTGGCTACACCAGTTCACAACCTCGAGGAGCGTGGTGCTGCTGAAGATATCCTTGAATGTACCAAGAGTACTGTGTAGAATAAAGTTAATGCATTGTGTAGTGGCACTGATCTGTGCTACGACTTGCAAAAAATTGAACCATGTGTGACCGAAGCTGTCCAACGCATCTATCTTTGGAATATTTACCGACTTCCCTCCGAATTAACCAATTGCGTGAGTAATACCAGAATGGGTATATTAAGCTTATCTCACTAATGTTTGTATACAGGTTCAGGGACCTCTGAAAGATCTGATAAACCAAGCAGGACTCTCGCAGCTTACGGCAGATTTGAACAAATGTCTTCCGTTTTAGTACGGGCATTTAGCTGAATTGAGGATGATTTTTGATGACTATTAGTCCTTGTCTGGGGTCAGGGATGATGGGTGAAGGAAGCATATTTCATCCAGGATAGTCATTGAAGTTACCCTGGGTCTGGGCATTAGTCCAACGTCCATCTCTATATATTTAATTCTTTTTCTTGTTCTTTTCCTTTATCCTCCGCCACATATATCTGGAAAGTCCACATGTGTGGTAATGTTGCATAGAAGAGGGCCCTCTACCGGAGTTGAATTGTCTTGCGATCTTCATGTCATAAAAAGTTGATGTCTACTTTCCCATTTAGTATACCATCCTACGCAACCCAATATTGGTCTATACATGTTCATTGCAGGGCGTTAAATAAGCAACAGAAACGACCGATACTTCCATTGTCATCTTCAGGTCTGTCTTTCTAGCAATATAATATACAGCTTATATGAAGCCTTGTGAAACATGGAGGTAACTAGTCTCATTTGCTTAAGCGGCAAAAGGTACTGCAGGGTCGACACATAGAGCTTCGTGTTTAGGTGTACACTACTATCCGAAGAGCAAACGGCTAACAAACAGAACGATATCCCAATAACAATGAAGTCATTGTCCCATTTCTGGATGTCACAAGTCTACAAATCTCATTCAAATTTGAGGCAATTGTTTTTGTTTTATTATTTAAATGCTCTATAGCATGGCCTCGGTCTGGCTCTCATCTAATCGCCAAACGCATCGCATTAAGACATGACCCATCAGTACGCACTGTTGAATGCAAAATAGGCAAGCCGACCCATAAACACTATCCGTAATAACCCCCATATATGCCACTTTTATTGCCGTTGAAGACAAAATACTTTTGAGCCCAAGTTAAATGGAACTCTATGTTATTCGTAACATCGTGATAATGTTGAAAAGAATCTAGGTTAGGGTATACCAATCAACAACAAACGGAAAGAAGGAGTTTAGTAGCGGTAGTGGTCAGCCTTGTAGGGACCCTCGGCGGGGAGACCAAGGTACTCAGCCTGGACGGGGGTGAGCTTGGAGAGCTCAGCGTTGACGTGCTCAAGGTGGCACAGAGCAACCTGCTCGTCGAGGACCTTAGGGAGGACGTAGACGCCGACGGGCTTCTTGCCAGTGGTGCCGAACTCGACGTACTTCTTGCCGAACTCAGCATCCTCAGCCTTGAAGAGGGCGATCTGGGCGAGAACCTGGTTGGAGAAGGAGCAGGACATGACGAAGGAAGAGTGACCGGTGGCACAGCCAAGGTTGACAAGACGACCCTCAGCAAGGAGGATGATGTGGCGGCCGTTGGCCATCAGGTAACGGTCAACCTGGGGCTTGATGTTCTGGACGGACTTGGCGTTAGCCTTGAGCCAGGCAACGTCAATCTCAATGTCGAAGTGACCAATGTCTAGTCTTGTTAGTATGTATTCAGGCCCGAGTGATCAGCGATTGCTACTTACTGCAGACGATGGCATCGTTGCGCATGACCTCGAAGTGCTTGCCAACAAGGATGTCACGGCAACCGGTGGTGGTGACGAAGATCTGACCGAGGGGAGCGGCCTTCTCCATGGTGGTGACCTCAAAGCCCTGAACAGCGGCCTGGAGGGCGTTGATGGGGTCAATCTCAGTAACAAGGACGCGGGCACCCATGCTGTGGAGAGCCTGAGCACAGCCCTTGCCGACGTCACCGTAACCGGCAACAACGGCGACCTTACCAGCGATCATGACGTCGGTAGCACGCTTGATACCGTCAATGAGGGACTCACGGCAACCGTAGAGGTTGTCGAACTTGGACTTGGTGACGGAGTCGTTGACGTTGATGGCGGGGACGAGGAGCTTGTTCTCCTTCATCATCTTGTAAAGGTGGTGGACACCAGTGGTGGTCTCCTCGGAGAGACCGTAGCAGTCCTTGAGCTGCTCAGGGTACTTCTCGTGGACGAGAGAGGTCAGGTCACCACCGTCATCGAGGATGAGGTTGAGCTTCTTGCCATCCTTGAAGGCGGAGAGCTGCTGCTCCAAGCACCAGTTGTACTCGTCATCGGTCTCACCCTTCCAGGCGAAGCTAAAATACGTTAGGCTCGGAGAAGTTGGGGCATGTTGTTCCTGTACTTACACAGGGACACCGGCGGCGGCGATGGCAGCGGCGGCGTGGTCCTGGGTGGAGAAGATGTTGCAGCTGGTCCAGGTAACCTCGGCACCAAGGGCAACCAGGGTCTCAATGAGGACAGCAGTCTGGATGGTCATGTGGAGACAACCAGCAATGCGGGCACCGGCGAGAGGCTGGTCAGCGGCGTATCTGCGACGGATGGCCATCAGACCGGGCATCTCAATCTCGGCAAGCTCGATCTCGCGGCGACCGAAGGCGGCCAGAGACTAGGGAATGGTCAACAATCTGAACATGACAGTATATTCGGCACCTTGGAGACACGTACGATGTCGGCGACCTTGAACTTGTGAGCGGGAGCAGCCATGGTTGCTGATATTATGATGGGAAGAGGTACTGTTGAACGCTGTTAGCAATGGGTATCTTCGAGGGAAAAACAAGGCGGTGGACAGTACATACTGAGAGGTGTATAAAAAAAGGGTATGAGAGGATGGAAGAGGAGAAGAAGAGTGGATTTGGGGGGAGGGGAGAGAAGAATTAAAAGGGAGAGGAGCAACAGCAAAATCAAAAGAGGAGAGGGGCCGCCGAGGAGGGACTGGCGGCCCTGGCCTGGCGGGGCTGCTGATTTTCTCTCCCGGACTAACTGTAGTTCCGGACTACAAATTGATTAGCGTCTATCAACAAGACCAGACAGGTCTTATGCACAGCCTGTCGAAGGTGCTAGTAAGAGTCAACTGGAAATTAAATTGCCTCGTAGGCTGCAATTGTCACTCAAAGATGGGCATTTCCTTGTTCTCTATAATGTATTTCATACAATGCCTACCATCCATCTGGCATTTATACCCACTGCCTGTCGATGTTAAACTTTAATCACCTGACCTCAAGATTGGTGCCTCAGCAAACGGCCAACCAATGACCTATCAAACCTGTCACATGCGCTCTGACACCTTCAACCCCGAAAGGTCCCCATGCATTTATATTCTCCCCTTCTCCAATGCAAGTTGTTGGGCATTGACGAAGAAATCTACCAGATCCTGATGTCCTGATTGACAAGGGATCAGAACTCAGGTCCAATTGGAGCTACCAATGCACCAAAATCTGACATAATACTAGATTTGCTGCTCGGATTTAAGCAATGAGGAACATGGAACAATTCACCAAGATGATAACCGCGGAAAGTAGAAAACGCTAGAGCCTTATCCAAATGTGCCTCAATATGTCTTCCAGAGTAGTGCAAGGTACAAACCATGATTCATTCATCTGTCAACATACCACAAACCATGGCGGGGAAGACGCGAGGGGTACGCGGATAGCAGCCAAGATCTGCACGATATCACCGTAGATCCCCGAATGCGAACGCTCGCATTCCAGGCGACCTCAAGAATGCCAATTAAGCATAACGTCACCGCGGATGCACTGGCCGTAAAAGCTATCCGTCAGAACTCTTTCACTTCTCCTACTCAGACTTGATTGTACACTTCGTATACCTCTCTCTTAAATCATAGACCATGAAGCTCTTTCGTTTGTTTACCTCGGCTGCCCTCGCTTCTCTCGCGATGGGCATACCCCTCCGGGATGTCATCTTGAGCGCCAACTCATCCTGCCAGATTCAGGGAGGGGATGAGGCTGCCGATATGGCATGTCGTGTTACTGTATTTTTGTTCCCATTCGGCGACTTACGATGTAGAGGCTAATCAATTCGGTTTAGTGCATTAATCAAGGCCCGGGATGGACGGGTGGGTATTGTGATGATAAGCAGTATGCTCTTATTCCCAAGGTATGACAAGAAAAGGGAAGTACTAATGATGTCAGAATTTGCCATTGTACGTTTGGAGAATCTGTCTAGAATGTAGGGTCTGCTGTCAATGGCTTCCCTGGTTAGATGCGGGTTGGTGAATGGGTATGTGGATATATTTATTTCGTGTATGCTATACCCTTACTGCCGGTGCATTCTCGGTTCAAATTGAACTTGCCACTTGCAGATGGTCATAGATATAGTATTTCTCGTAAAAAAAAGAAAAAGTTCATGCATTAAAATACTGGTATACGGCCGTAAGAGTGAACAATGAAACTCAAATAATCCTCCATTTCAAACGCCGTCGTTAAATCTGTAGTGGTTCATCCATCTCTGCGAGACGTTAGCTGCTATCATAAAAGTCGGTCGAGCAGGAAACAAACCTTATCATAGGGTTTCGAGGAATCGCAGAATCGCAGATCAGTTGCAAGACGGATGACGTTATCCTCGTCATTGTTGATAGTTGACGCGTGGATCTTGAGAGTCCGTTAGTCAATGTTCCAGACGTTATCAACGTAAAGATAATGGGACTTACGGCATGAGGCTTATGCAAGACCACATCGCCCGCCTCGTAGGCCGAGACAAGCCAGCGCCGGTCGTGTTCCTTAGCAAACTCAGCCGGGAACTCCGAAAGCAGACCGGTAGACATCATGTTTGAGTTGAAGGCCGACTTGGCCTCTTCTTCCGTCAGACCAGCCTTCAATGCCTTGGCCGTGAAATCGTCTTCGATCTTCTGGCCGATGGAGTCACCTACATATTGTCAGTCTGTGATCGTATACTCCACGTTCCGGCGCGCATACCATTCTCGAGATAAATCAAACCGCCACCGTTAATCTTAATATCACCAATAGGTACCCAAGCAGTCACAGCCGTCGGCTCTCCATAGCGAAGGAAGATCTGATCATAATGAACACCAATCGGCTTCGAGCCAGGGATATTGTTTCTCAGAAGCGTCCGCTTGAAGGTCAAAGTGTCCTTGCCCCAGCCGGTGAACTTGGCGATGAAATCGTACAAAGCGGGGTGGTTCACCACGTTCTTAGTGTACCAGTCCTTGTAATGGGCCTCGATAGCCTTGTCGACAAACTGCGCCGCGTTGTCTCCACCGGGGCGGCCATTCCCGCCCACATGGCCGGCTCCAATGCCGGGATAATCGTCGATCGATTTCGTCCGGTTAAAGACTCCCTCTACGGGCTCAGTACCCTCCTGCAGAACCCCGGTGGGAGCGAGGTACTCGAAATAGGCCTTGCGGGCTTCCAGGATATCTTCGCGAGGCAGCACCTGCTTCAGGAAAAGGTAGCCGTCCTCATTGTAACGCTTGCGGAGTTCCTCGACGGGGAGGTTGGGGTCAGAGGGACGCAGGTAAGTTGCGTTCTCAGAGGTCAACGGACCGTCGTTGACGGACAGGGTAGTCTCGACTAGCACTCCAGGCATGTTGAAGAGTGTGTATGATAGTTTAAGGAAATTGCAGTAGAGCCCATGTTGACCTGGATTCGACCCTGTCTTTATAGATTCTGCCCCTCGTCAACCCAGTTAGGGACCGTGGATTGCAAATGTCATCGTGTTCCACCCTGCCCCGCATCGGATAAGGAAGTCGTGTCGCGTTATCACCAGTAGCATGCCGCGAAGCTGTCCTTGGTTGCTGCACGAGGCAATATTTCCCCATTGGGTGCTCTCCACATAGGCGGGCAACAATTCCCGTTGCAGAACCCTGTGGAGTCTGACCCCACAATTGGCGGGTAACTATTCCTATTTAGATGAATAAAGTGCTCATCCGTATACAGAATTCGCTCGAGAAGGGGCCGAGTAGGGGCGTTTAGTCTCGGAAATTCGGCAGCTGATGATCGGATTAGAATTGTTGGTTGGTTATTTGTGGGATCCGTGAGATACCTTCCTTTTGTGGTTAGGAACCAAAACCTATCGCTTTATGATTCGTATATAGATGGGATTTTGGAACTCTTGGAGGTCCCTATGTCCGTAATAGTGCAAGTGAAGGAAACCCAGAGAAGGTCCTACAGCCTTGATAGATGTTTAAGCCCGAAAGTCTGTACTAATTGTAGATGTCTGTGTTATGTTTATAAGCGAATATGATATATACTTTTCCCTTCCATGAGGATACTCAACCTTTTTTTTAAAAGTCGCCTAAGGAAACATGGCAGCAGATCCACTCCAATAGAGCTTTAGATAAAAACATAGATAACCATCAACTTAGAGACTCTCGGCAGAGATCTTATCGGACTATCTACTCCCGCATAGTTCTAGAAAACCTACACAGTAGGCGGCAGCAATAGTAGTTAAACGGGCATATCACCGCGTCATGCCTTGCTCACCTCTTAGACCGTACAGCAGTATAGTCATTAAATACCACCAGATGTTATCTCAAATGAGTTCAAATCCGATTATAGTTTGATTCCATATCTCAGCGGTATCTTCATCTAACGATTGTTCAACGCATGGCCACCAACGACTCACGTGACCTAGTTAGTTCAAAGAGTGGGCTAGAGTGGATCCACAATAGATCCATTCTACGCTACTTCTCTCCGTGTATTATATTATTTATTCAAGTCGCAACAAGTATATACATATCAAAATATAGATACTCGAGAGTGTGAAACATTAAGAAGGAGGCTGGATTCGGACCCGGAAAAGGTAAGGTATGGCAGGTAAGCAAAAAAAAAAAAAAAAAAAAAAAACCTTTCGACTGGCCATTTTGACCACTCGGCCAATGGCCCCGTAGGACGAAATATTAACGACGGTACCTTATACCTATATAGGTCTAGATGAGCTAGCAGTGTGCTGCGGGTACTCCATCGAAACTCCGTCCATCTACACTCCTCCCATTCAAGGCTCCTTGAAATTTCTAGTATTGGAAAGAACAACTACACGGCACTTCTGGGAATAAATAGCCTCGCTCTCACCTATGGATTCATCTTCTTTTCTTCTCCTCTTCAGCTCCTCTTTGCGTGCCGTCCAGGTATATCCTGGTACTTCGAGTAGGGAAACCTAGCTGAGTAGGCCGAGTCTTCAGGACCCTCGGGACCTCGAAGCAAATTTTGGTACCTCCTTTTTTTTTTTTTTTTTTTAATCAAATGCGTCGGCTTGTCCGACAGTTTGGAGAATGGAACTGCGGCGTGTGTCTAGTGTATAGTAAATCCCAGTCCCGTAGTGATCAAGACCTTTATGGTGGTTAAGGGGGGATGTATGGGAAGTGGAGACGTCCGAATTGAGCATTATTTTACTATAAGTCTGCAAATACAGAGTCACTTGTTCTGCGTAGATCATATGTTTGGCTGCCTAGGCCTCCAGGCGCCTACAACAATCATGACTACAAAGAAAAGTTGGCTGATGTAACCAAGGTATCTCAGTGACGTTGACCACCATCGGTCTCAGGTGGTCACGTCGAGTAATAATCATCTCGATTGACCAATAAAATTAGAATGATGATTAATGATGATTGATACTTAAACACTACATAGTTGGTGAAAGCAAACAGTAGTAATGGACTTATGCCTACGAATCATTGGATAGCTAGATAGTATGCCAGTTGCATACTTCAAGTTAAACGTAATATATGA